CCTGATCATCCGCCAGGTAACCCCTCCCCCACGAGCGGGCAAACCCCCCTCCTTCACACACATTCCTGGGATTAGCCGGTCGGCGGCCGCAGCCGGCTGATGGCCCGGACGGTTGCGTGCAGAGACATTTAAATCGTCATAAACGGTATTGATATCGTCGTTTAATTGTCGGAGATAATGAGCGGCGTTCGGGCAAATTTAAACGTTAAGCTTAGCAAAATCGTTCTGGCCACAACTCGATCAGACTCGTGAAATCAAATGATGATTATGGGTATATGCCGGAAACAACCAGGTACGTTAACTGTTAGGTAGAGCATGTTAATTTCACAGGTAGGTCACGTCTCGATTAAATGATAGTGGAGCGGAAACAATGCCGGCCAATTAAATATACTTTAAATCATAACTGAGTCGTCAGATACTAATCATCTCGGGCATACGTTAATTCACGTCAAATTTGACTGGCTTTTGCTTGAGCTCGGGCACCCAACCCGCCGGAAATGACAATTTCGGAAATGAAAATTTTTTGGTCGTTAATGACTTATGGGTTTTGTTTCGCATATTTACCAACCCTGAAACCTAGAAGACACTCGTCGTTCAGCACTGAGTTACGCTACATACTGAATGAAGTTACGCATGGATTTTTGGGGCTAAAACGCTCAAAACTTATCGTTACGCTAATCCACAGATAGTGAGAAATAAACAACGTTTACCGGACATTGAAGCGATCGAGTATATACTGCAACGTACGTCGATTTGCACTGGATCAAAATTAATTGAATCCCATCGTGCTAAATAAAAAATTATCGTGATAAATACTAAATCGTGCTGAATAATTAAATAATAAATCCGGCCACATAATTACGAAAAAACCTGACAGTACTACCGACGCAAATGCCTGTTTACTTTGATGGTCTCGAATCAGAGCTCTATCAAACAACAACCACGAGGACAACAACAACCCAGTATGATGTAGTGTGACCTCCCACCGGTGCCTGTGTTCCAAAAAAAAAAAAAAAACATGCCAACGTGTGAACGGTGGCAGAAACGGTGTTCTGCTCGGCCCTCCCATTCTCTCCGAAGTCCGAGTTCTCTCGTTCTCTCCTTCAGCACTTTCATCTCGTCAAGTTAATCCATTCATGTTTCCCTCCCAAATAGCCCCAACAGATGTGAGTACTTTTTCAAGATATATTCAGCCAAAACGAAGGAAGAGAAACTAGCAGTGAAACGACAGAGTTTTCAAAGATAAGCAAAACTAGACTTAAACTAGCCATAAACCATAGTGAACTGAGTCGATCCCCAAAACAGAGTGCCAGATTACCTATGTCAACTTTAAACTAAATAGCTACTACGTAAAGTGCCGTCCTTTGAGCCTGCAACTGAATATTAGACAACCGGCTGGAGTAACCGAGACGAACGTAGCTGAGCATCACACGCATTTTGAAGAAAGTTCTACCGCCTTTCGCGTAATGAAGGCCAAAATTCGTCCCAATGGTCCGTCACTCTGATGCGCCCGGGTGCTCACATTTACACTCACGCACGCACACATTCAAGACCAGCCCTACCCCGCTTTAGACAAAATTGCAGATTTAAGTCTGTTAAGTGACAAAATGATACATATCCCAACCATCCCCCTTTTGATACCCTACAGCAAGGAGCAATGCCGTTAACTCATTCAACAATTACACGCTCACGCATACGTACATAACATGTCCCAGCCACTCCCATTTTTTATCTCCAGATCAAGGCGCAAGGCCGCTCAATCATACAAGTTCACACGCTCACGCATACGTACAGATCTCCCCCCCCCCCAAACAGGCCTAAATAAAATTACATCCCCGGGGCGAGAGAAAAGCCGGGGCAGCAGGCGGGGCACATTGGGGAAGGATTATGATAGGAAAGCAGCTTCATGACCTCCAGTGCCGACCTACCGCTTAGCTGTTGGCTGTGGACGACAGGGCTGACGGCCGGCTGGCAGCAGATTTATCGGCGAGCGGGCGGCACAGCGACGACGGACGGGTGGCAGAGTTGGCGGCAGCCCGCGGAGCGGTGGTGGCGGGCGGCAGAACGGCGGAGCGGCGCAGAGTCCTCCAGTGGCAGGCAGTCCTCCATCCTCCTCCTCCAGAACTATCACCGCCGACTCCTCCTCTCAAACTCTCCTCTCCGCTCGAACTCACTCCCTCCATCGCCTGTCCTTCTCCATCCTGCCGCTACAAACTGACTGTCTCGCCCACCTCTGAACTCCACTTCCCAGCTCTCCAACTCCAACTGAACTGCCGCCTGTCAGCGTCCCCAACGCCTCCGACTCTCCAACTCCAACTGAACTGCCGCCTGTGAGCGTCCCCGACGCCTCCGACTCTCCAACTGACTCTCTATCCTCAAAATCCTCAAAGTTTTGCTGGAGCTCCATCTGCCTCGGGCTGTCTCTAGAGTTGCCGTCTTCGCTCCGCCTCTTTCTTCCGAGTTCTGCTGTTCTCTGAATTTCCAGTAAGGGCCAATTTTCCAGGTCTTCTGTCCGTCTAACCAGTCTTCTGTATTTTCTGCTGAGTCTGGTTGCCGAAAGGGTGAGATTTCTATTAAATTTAACGTTATGTTGGGCCGAAACGTATGCGTTTTTCCGCTGTGCAGCCTCCGGCGTGCCGTTTCCATGGTGACTGCTATCCTCTCTGGGTGCTCCTCCTCCCTTCAAATATTCTGGCGCCGATAGGTGAATTTGAATCTTCTGCCCCTGGCGATGCCGGCAGATTTGCCACGCCGGCCAGGTTTGCCAGCGTGGGAAGATGGGCCCGGGAATGCGGATGTGCCGTGCCATGCTGGAATTTGGATATTGTTACTCCGTCGGCTGTCCCAGTTTCACGATGCTGATTGTCGGCGCCAGTCTCGGCACATCCTGGAAATGTGCTATTTCGAGCCGTGTTTTGAAGAAATTGCCTTTGAAGTGTGATACCGGTGGTCAATTTGGTCCCGGGCGCCCCGGCCTCCCGCTGCCGCAGCGGCGCTGTCGTGTCCTGTTTCCCAGGCTGACGGTGTCCGTTCGCCGCGCGTAGGAGGCTGCGTGCCTTTGTCCATCCGTCCCCCCCCCCTGACCGGGGTTGGGACCCATTGCTGAACCCTTCCACGGTCAGCGACGGTGAGACGGCTCTGTAAGGGCCGCAGGATAATGGCGTTTGGCGGCGCAGTCTCAGATCCGTGTTTGTCCTGCCGTCCGGTGTCGGCCAGATGGTCGGCGGGTCAGCGGTGTCCGGTCGCCGGCGCGCTGCTGTTTTGAAGGATGAATTTGGGAACGGGTTGATTTGGGGAGGGAAAATGAAACGCGCCAGCGTTACAGCTCCACTAGATTTTTATCGCTGACCGCCTGTTTTTTGCAGGCCCGCGGTGGCGATTGAGCTCCATTTCATTATATTTTCGATTGAGCTGCACCTGATAACCTATGAAGCTTTAATTCCTTGCAGCGTTATCGAGCTTGAAAGCTGTGAACATTTTCATTTTGTGAAATACAATTTATCTTCATATTCTTTCATATTTAGATATTCCGTATAATTGATATACGGAATACCAGTAAAACGCCTTTTGGGCGAAGAACGAGCGAGCGAGATAGTGAGCCCTGCACGTGCGAAAAGGCGAGAGGGTAGTGTTAACTGGCTTGTTCAAAGCACCCTTCTAACCGGTCGCTAGCGGTGTGCCAAATTTGAACGCAATCGGCCCAGCCGTTCCTGAGATCTGGAAGCGGCATTCTGCACGTGCGCACGTGCAAACGGGGTCCAAACTGACTTTTGCACGGCACCCTACTAACCGGTCCTCAATCGCGTACCAAATTTGAGCGCAATCGGCCCAGCCGTTCTCGAGATCTGGAAGCGCCCCCTGCACGTGCGCATGTGCAGTAGCACCCTAACCGCAACACATGGGAATGCATTGCCTGGTGGGTGCCTACATGTATGCCAAGTTTCAGCGAAATCGCCCCAGTAATTACCGAGTTACTGAAATGGGAACAAATTTGGCACCTCTTCTTTTTGCATTTTGCACGTGCAGTGGGGGTCAGTCACATAGATCAAGAGTATCCGACCTTTAGAAGAAGGGATGCAGCTACCCTACAAAAATTACCGCAAGACAATCGCCCAAGCGGCTGCTGAGATATGAGCCTCTCAAAATCACTACTTTTGCAAAACAGCTTTAACACCCTTGACTTTTCACGTGGCACGTGCCACGACGGTCACTGAGATGTATAAAAAGTAGTCAATTACGGGGTAGAAGGGATGGGGCTACCCAGCAAAAAAGACCGCAGGCCAATCGGTCCAGCGGCTGCTGAGATATAAGCCTCTCAAAAGCGTTACAGGCCGGGCCGGGCCGGGCCGCTCATACTGAGATTTTTCCGTTATATTGAAAAGACTTCGCTTCGCTCGCTGCGCTCGCTCGCTCGTAATCAAACCATACACGCAAGTTCACTGAAGTATTTGGCTATTTGTTGGATCTTTTTCAAAATGGTAGCAAACTGTCGTTAAAGCGGGTGTCATAACTCTTGAAGTGCTACCCGGCCACTACCACGCACCAGCCCGACTGTATAGTAGGTGTTGTATCTTCCTGGTACCGTCCTGTCAGTGCCTTTTACCAGATTTACTGCAATCGCTCTTTATCCAACGATCGCCACGCAAGGCACGCGGTCAGAGAAGTGTCTACCTGCGTCTCTCTACTCAGGTGTTTGACCTCCGTGTTTCAGGGCCACAGAGACCCACTCTGACCTGGAATGTGGCGCTACGTTTGATCACCAGGGAGGCCCCTCTCTGACCTGGTATGTGACCCCTTGTTTCAGCGTGATCTGGTATGTGACCCCCGTGTTTCAGCGCCTCTCTGACCTGGTGTTTGACCTCCGTGTTTCAGCGTCAGAGAGACCCTGACTGAACTGCTGCGTGACCCTATGTTTCAGCTCCGGATTTTGTCAGGCCCTGCTCTGACCTGGTATGTGTTTCAGTTCCTCTCTGACCTGCTATTTGACCCCCCGTGTTTCAGCGTCAGGGAGAGGACGTGGTGTCCAGTAAGCCGGAGGCGGCGTTCGCGCTGGCCGCGGTGCTGCTGGCGCTACAGTTGGAGTTCCCGCAGCTGACCGAGCTGACAGTGGCCCACTGCCAGGCGCGCTGTCCGTACCTGGTACCGATGTACCCGCAGCAGTTGGACGGGGACACCAACGAACAGTACTACCGGTGAGTACTTGTCCTGGTACCGCAGTAGTCCCAGTGAGTAAGTACAACTGGTGCCGTCCGGTGAGTCCATCTGATACTGTAGTGTGTAACCAATGATCCCCTAACGATATAACTGCAGTCCCACCAAAATGTACGGCTCTCCATGCGGGTTTAAAGGGACTATCCCACCTTCTAAAATGTTGTTAAAACCAGTTAAATTGTGCCCGACTTTATAGATTGGATGACCAGGAACACGGTTCTAGCATTTATTTTTCATTAAACATCTTAGGCTTCCCATATTCCAAACACAAACTTTCAAATATGTGACGTCACAGCCCAAAATTACCTCCTTCCCCAGGCCACATTACTGTCATAAAGCTGATTCTTTTTACTCTGTAGGCACCACAACAAAGTTCAGACCAAGTTTTAAGCGATTTTTCAACGAACAAACCCATTTAAATCAGAATGACTAAACAAGGTGACGTCACACTAACGGTCGCTCCATGTTGAAGATAGGGCCTTGTACAAGGCCCATTTTCAAATGAAGGGAACGAATTTCTTCAACACCAAGAGGCCGCGGGGGTTGCAACCTAGATAGATAGTGGTTTCTGAACCTCGCCGCAAACTTGGCTATCTCAACTCAAACCCCATGTTAAAGGTGGGATAGTCCCTTTAAGCGGTAGGTTCTGCCTTTGACTTTACCGGCAACATCTCAGAAACTAATCGATGTACGATGAAGCCATTTTAGAGGATCGTATAGTAGCTCAGACATTTAGACATTGTTCATTGAACCGTAGTGCGAATTCTGCTTTTATGAGCTTCCGATTTGTGTGTTCGTATTTTCGGATCGTTTTCTTGAGAGATGTTGATAATTGTCCGATTATATTGGCAAAGGTTTCAGACATAACATGTATACAAAATTAAATTCCTTAAGCTTTCGAAGACATCTACATCTTCATGATCACAAGGTTAAATTGTAAAAGCACAGAGCCTAAGTTTGCTATTAGAATGGAAGGGAGAAAAACTAAATACATATTGTGCGTGATAAATTGCTAAGGCCTCTTGCAGTCGTCACATTCAGTAAACACACTATAGTTCGTTTTTCTTAAGTTTGCCCCTCACTGTAAACGTCTTTTTGAACATAGCACGAGAATTACTAGCTGAATTACTGAGAAAACTGGTTGGCGCACATTGATTTGACCAGATTTCACAGACGATCAATTTCATCAAAGTTATTTACTATTTCACAGACTCTTAGCTCGTATTTGCCAATACCTACAGCCCCACAGGGTTAGACGACTTCTCAGAAATTATATCTGAACTAATGAATAAATTGCACGGCGCTTAACATAACGTAAAATCGTCGGTGTTCAAAACTTATTTTTGAAAATATTATTCATATCTGCAATACAATGTGCGCTAACCAGTTTTCTCAGTAATTCAGCTAGCAATTCTCGTGCTGTGTTCAAAAAGGCGTTTACAGTGAGGGGCAAACTTAAGAAAAACGAACATAACTAATATACCTACATCGTTCCACACTTGGATGCATGACACATGACACATTTTGGTAATAATGTGTCAGACATGTGTACGAATAAATCGATTGCATCGTCAACCCTTAAAAGCTTTAGACGAAGAAGATATAGCCAGAAATTCACTAAATTTCATCGGGGCAAAACCTATCGCCAAAACCCGCGAGACCTATACCCCTCGGTACCGCGCATGGTGAACCGGTCAGTACCACACACTACGCAGCACTATCGCCGAGTATTACCACATGATACTGGCTGTGAGAGTAGTACCTGTGATTGTGAATATGGTGTGGTATCGCTGGCTCTTTTCCCATCAACCACGCGTTTTTCACATCACAAACCAGAACTTGCTGATGATTCGTGGATTTATTCCGTCTTGATGTAATCTTAAACCTCCCGAATAAGTTACTATCTAATTGAATGCTAACATCTAATCATCTTACCAAATTCATATAAACCATGATTCCGCCTTGACCTTTCGTACGATCGGTCGCTATTCTTGACGACGCCCTTCCTCCGCGCCCGCCCGTCGGGACCTCTCCCCACTAGTCACGTTCTCACGGGCTGTTTTATAGGAAACTCGGCTACGACTACGTGGACGGCGTGGTGGAGAAACAGGACAAGTTTCTGAAGCGGATGTCGGGCATAGCGCGGCTTTACGTGGCGCTGCTGATCGCTCGGCCGCCGCAGCACACGCCCGCCCCGCCCCCCGGCGCGGTACCGGCCCGGCCACTCGGAGTGAAACATTTGTGGCGCTGGCTAGCGGCCACCGTTAACCTGGGTGAGTTTTGATTTTCTTGTGGTTAAACACAAATCGTCAACTGTGCAGTGGTATTCGGACAGGGCGGATATGAAAGATGACTGTTGTGAGTGAGGTCTTGCTTGAGGCCAACTTTTTTCTCCACCGACATGGTTCTGTCGTGGGTAGGTCTTGGGGTTAGTTTCCGTTGTCCCCTCGCCCCCACTTACCCGTCCGCCTACTGGCTGGAACTAATCCTGCTCAGAGCCCACTGCCCAGGGGGCCACCGCTTCTTGCCGGTACAGTCACCGCGGTAAGCCTGATCGCGGCCTCAGGTGGGCGGTCCGATTTCCATGATGAACAGCACTGCGACTAGTCCGCAAAGACAGCTGAATAGACAGCCTGAGCCTGAGGAAAGAAATCGGTTCTGCCCGGTGGGAGGCCCGGATCGACCCCCAGGACAGGGATTTGGCGCGCGGCACTGAACGCTGATTGACTCTGAGGCCACTCGATGTTTGTAGCTTATTGCCAGTTGCCACATATTATTACCCTTATGGACGCATTATGTTTGATTGTTTTATTTTTTCGCTTTAGCTCGGCTTTGTTCGTGATTAAGCAGCAACGTGCTTTCATCGGTCAGCTGGTTTTAGTGATAGCTTTGATACGCAGACATTCGAAATATTGTGTTCATTGCTTGGTATGTATACACCTACTTGTTTGTTTTGTTTGCTTGCATCATTTTTTTTTCTGAGCAAATGTCACAGGGTCCAGACCCCTCAGTCTGATGTTCACCGAAAAGGTAATCATTTCTTAGGCTATCTTACGCCTTCAGTGTTCAAACTTCAGTCATGGACGCAAGCGATTAGCACCACTCGAAACTCAATCTGAAGCACAGGAAGATCATACCAACAAACGAGTCGAGCACTGTTAGTCATTTCGACGTTCATCGGTCTGTATCCCGATCTCACCTACCGCTACACCCACCCTTCGCTGCGTGTTCTGCACTATAACACCCCTTCCCCCTTGGACAGAGCCGCGAGCCGACGTGACCGCTTCGATCCTGTACGACGCCCTCGAGGTGGGAGGGTCCACGCTGTCCGCCGCCTACGGCACGCAGTTCGTCAAACTGGTGAAGCTGCTTCGGACACAGTACCTGGCGCGCGTTCAGCAGGTGAGATCGGTGTGGGGATCGAGCATGAATTGTTGAGCTGTTTTCGAGTGGGGAGGTGAAATTGGGGTATCGTTGATAAGTTTTGTGTGGTTTGATGTGGTTTGGTTATGAGGTGGTATGAGGGTTGGAAGGTTTGAGTTAAAATGCGAGACATTCTTCACGTGAATCTACGGAGGACTGCTTTAGTGGAGGTTATGTATTTTGTATACTATTTCGTGAAGCCGATGGATATAGCAATGTCGTATGCTACGATGTAGCAAGGTCGTATGCTACGATTTGTTGTTCGTCACATGTGCTGTCGTAGACTGATGTGTGAAAGACTTCCTAGCGCACCTATCCTTACTCCGAAGACCAGATGGTGTATGTGAGCTTAGGCCAGACCATAACAATGAACGTTTATGACATTCTTTTATCCCGTGAATTTATTTATAAGTTCCGTCAAAAAAATTGATTTATTTTCCGACCCCACGCAGCCGCTATTTCGCCCCCACACATTCCGCGCCCACGATTCACGGAACGCTATATTGCGAGTGTGGAAAATATGCAGACGTCGTTAAAGCCGTCTAATGCCATTGGCGCACTGGGAGTCGGGCTGCCCGATGTACCCAGCTGGCGCGTTACCGAGATCCAGAGTGGGCGCCGGGATACGCAGAGGCGCCGTGTGTGGTACCCTTACGGCATATAAGGAGACTGAGTAACATAGCCTCCTCCGCTAAGGCTACCTACCCTGACCTCCTGACTGTATATGTAGGTACCCGTTATGTCCTGTTCCTATATCCAAACGCCTGCAATGACCTTTGACCTCTTCAGATGACCACGCTAACCTCTGACTTTTTTATCTCTTAACACCGGAACCCATATTAGCTCCCACACAACCCCTGTGACTGGTGACACCTGACCTCCGATAGTCCCGTGACCTCTGACTTACGATGACCCCGTGACCTCTGACCTACGATGACCCCGTGATCTGTGACCTACGGTGACCCCGTGACCCCTGACCTTCCCAGGTGACGCCGTCCGGCTGTGGCGGCCCCGTGGTGCGCCTGGAGCAGCAACTGCAGCGTATTGTCAGCACGGGCCGAGTACCGCCGCCTCAGGGAGAACTCAAACTCTACAACTGGTAGCGGCGAGTCGCAGTCAGGTGACGTCATAAAGCTGTCAGGTGACGCCCAGTCGGGACACCCGGTGACTTATTCAGCGGCCACCTGTGACGCTCAGCGACATCAATTCTGACCCGGTTCGGCCCTCGTTTGGCCTGCGATTCACGTGATCTGGTGACCCCTCGACACCACAGAAGCACACTACGTTCTTCTGCGTTCGCTAGGCACCGAAGATACCGCACTGTGGTCATCTAAGGAGGGTGGTCTCCGTCCAAACGCTAACGGGTGGCTCTGTTCTGGTGTCACTCTATCTGCATTGATGACGTAAGTCTCTGTTTGACTGTCGCAGCTCTCATGTCACACATATCATTGTTCATCGATCAGTGATCACGATTGTTCATTGATCAGTGATCGGGCCTCTGGTTGAAGTATGGACACCGATGACCAACGCCTACCCACAACCCTTAGCACGAAAACATCGCCATCGTCTGTGGTTCGAAGCTGTGTGTTCAGTTGAGGCGGTCTCGCGGCCGTCGGAGACTGAGAGCCGACACAACCAGCGCAGGAGAACGACCGTTCGAGGCTGACACGATTCGATGTGTGATAAGGGTGCGGAACTGCCTAGGTGCGAGTGATTCGGTGGATGTGGATTACGGGAGATGACGTGAATGCCCTGGAGACTACAGTGCTACATGAAACTTGAATATTTGATGTTTTTATGTGTAGAGTGTTGCAGCAGTGAAGGATTGTGATGGTTCGAACAATTGTAGGTCATTCGTCAATCCTGCCATGCTTGATACCAGCGACTTTAATGCTCTTATGTCAATAAAATATGTCAATGTTCGTTCGTTAAAGCCGTTCAAATGCTGAGATCGAAGACTGATTTCATAAGAATTTTGCGAACGATTAAGTATTGCCAGACGGTGAAAAGCTGTGCTTTTAGTTGCTTTTATTCAAACTCGCAAACAACAGGCTAACAGAGTTGTTATTGCAGTGAGGATTTGAAGAGGTTGTTTTGTCGAGTTTGCGGTCACCAAAAGCTCAGTGATTCTGTTGAACATGATCAAACGGAATGCAATGAGACTATTATGCACATTGGTCTTCAATTGGGCACTATGTTAGACGGTAACTAACCAGGGTCTGATACAATCGTACGTACAACTGACGAGTGACGTTTAACTACGCCAACATTGCAGCTGGCAAGTTGCACTGTATTTTCGCAATTTGATGCATGAAATAGCATCATTTCTTGGAAACAAGATAAACGAAGAGAACCTAACGTTACCTGGTTGAATAGTGGATAGTTCACAGTTGGGGCATTCCACGATAGATCGTACCAGGCCCGTCACCCTCATCTCTCAGATTTTAATGAAAATCGGTCCTAGGGGTAATCATAGGCCCCAAAGACGCCTGGCAAAATATCAGACTTCTCAGATCAAAACTTTTTGAGCTATATTGCATTACATTTTTTTTAACTTCGGTATGTAACGGTGAGTTTGATGGCCTATAACTCAAGAACGGGTTAAGCAACCAACAAAAAGTAAACAACACTAAGGTTGCGATTAATCAAAAATTAATATTACTATTTAAAAATTCCAAAGAAAAAATTTCATTGTTGAGCAAAAACCTTAATCTTTTTTCATTTGCCTCTAATGACTTTTGGGACCAAAATTTTTCACATCTTTATTTTTTCAAAATAATTTTCATGTCATTGCAAATCGACATGCAAAAAATTAGAAAGGTGTTCTTTCTATAAGTTCCTCATTTTCCGGCAAACAAAATGGGTTTCGGAGGGGTTGATACGACCCCAGCACGCCGTTTCGCTTCTAATAGAGCTAGAGCCTCGCGGAAAAAACGGGCGTGTGTGCCGTTACAAGTCGCAGCGATTGGTACCCGATTTTAAGGTCTCAGGTTAACCGGTAGCGTCTGAGGTCAGGTTCAGGTCATGTGACTGAAGTTACGGGTTCGGTTTTTAGTAAATAACTTCGCAAAAAAATGGCCGCAGAGCCGCGATTTTGGCATCATTGTGTTCGCCTAGCTCAGGTGCATCGAATGGTATACTTTTTGCTAGGGTGAGGTCAACTTAAGTAGTTGACCTCGGGTCAAGGTCAGGTCAGAGCCCCTCAGGTCACGAAGCTGGGCAAAGTGTATCATATGGCATATCATTCGATTCGGAAGGTCTTCCCGAGTCCATTGGTGGCTTTCCCGACTCTCTAGCTCTATTTGATTGAGAGTTGTTGACGAAAAACTCGTACGACCCTAGTGACGTCATAAATGACGTCACGCAAGGTTAACAATGCAAAAGTAAAGCATTGGACTTTGCAAGGAGTGCATGAAATCACGATACCATGTACGTGGGATAGTTTTAAATCATTCTCGGCGCCAAAATAACAGTTTTTATATTTCCCCATTGATTTATAACAGTGATGTCACGTGACCGACCTGGCCTCATGTAACCTTGACAAATTCCCAGATATACAAGTTGTGAGACCTCTGGAGGACACCATGTATGCGTCCTGTAACTTTCATCTCGGACAGCTATGGTCATTGGCGTCCAAAACAATGTCAGAACCAAACAGCCTTTTTCACCCTCGCGCTTATAGGAAAGAGGGTTGAATGAACCCTCTTTTCGCTTTTTTCAGATGACTCAGACTTGAATTGAAATTTCAGTAACCCGTGATGTCACTAGGCAGCTTTACCACGCCATTTGTAAGCTCCCCTCCCGAAATCACTATTCGAAACCGTTATCGTGACGTAAAATAAATACATTTATAGAAAGAACACCTTCCTACACTGAAAATTTTTTTTACTCAGGCCAGGCATTACTCAGTAATAACTCATGAAGAAACTCAGTGAATACGATAGTGGTGCTCACTTATTGGCTGATCTAACTCACATCACCAGGGTGACTTCGTTATGCGTGAGTTCTGAGTGCTTAGTTTCGTGAATTCGAACTGAGTCGGAAATGAGTTTTGCTTGGGCAAATCTAGTTTCCTGCGCAATGCATGAGTTCTCGCGAATTCACGTGCAGTTGTGCGTGAGGTACCCCCGGCTTGAAGATGCGCGCATGCGCGGCAGGGTGAGTTTCCTGCGTGATGCGTGAGTTCGCGTGATGAGTATTATAGCCGTTGCGTTCGAAAACCGCGGCGCGCGCTTCAGTCCGTTGTGGCGCGGTGACTCGCGTAGTTCACGTTGAATTGTTGAGGCTATTGTGACATTGTGCAGGAGAGTGCAGGAGCGGGGAAGGCGTGCAGCGAAGGATGGGACGGGTAAGTTATCTGTGAAGAGCTCGGTGATTGTCGATGAAGCTTTTATCAATCGCATGCGCCGCGGAGAACAGGGAGGTGAACTGATGGACCAGCAGACATTCCCCGCCGGGGTCAGGAGGTCGATGCCAACCGTGAACGGCGGAGCAGATCGATCGAGAAACTGAGGGATACCTACCCGGCATAGTTCGAAAAAGAAGAGGTGAGTTATGTTATATTTAAATTAAAAACACATGTTTGTGGGATAATGTTGTCCTTATCCTAAAAGAACGTTCATTTGACCCTTTTTACTTCTTTAAACAAGAACTCCGTCACGACCCGATGTTTTTTTAGGGGGGGGGGGGGCGAAGGTTGTTTGAAGTCGATTCTTTCCATGCAGCACCCATAGGCACAATGTTAAAATGTAAAATATTGGGGGACACGTCCCCCGTACCCTTCCCCCCCGGTGGTGGAGCCCATGGTCTTAATTCCGCTCGCTGAACCGTTTAAGATTCTTTTGTCTCGTTTGTGCTTATTATTTTTCCGACTGTTATTATTTTTTTCCGACTGTTTTTTTTTTTAATGCCTACACACATATTTTCGTACACTATTCGATTTCAGCGAGCATTTTCAACCTTCCTTACATATTAGATTATTAGATACCGCGGCGAGACGCGTTTGGACGTGACATAATTATTTCCATTACTGTTAAGTATACCTAACACATTTTATGTGATTGTTTCAAGCTGATTTTAAAATTGGACGCCCATGGAAGTGTTTTGCGAGACTAAAACCCGTCTGTTAAGGTGACCATCCCACCTTGACCCGCGCTGTGCTGGGTGGCGTTTTACGCCCCCCCCCCGCCCCCTCAGGGTTTTCGCGAATATCTAAGAACGGCGGCGCGCAGCGCCACCATTTTCGGCACACCTGCTCATACATTTTTTTCTGCATATGAAGAAATTTTAGACCCAGGTCGTTCAAGGTCAGGTCACGTCAAATGACTTAACATCAGAAAAATTTCAATGGTCGCTGACGATCGCACCGTTCGCAACGTGCCATGGAAACCGTTCGATATTTTTGTCATTTTCGCTCAGGGAATTCACCGCTCGATTTCACACCAGTTTGAGGTAAAATATCAAAAAAATATCGAACGGATTTCATTTTATAGCGTTTTTGATACTGTCCCACTCCCATGTCTCAAGTATCAACCTTACGGCATGTATAAAATATATTTGCTAGTGCAATAAAACACCTCATATGTGTTCAGCTTGACGGTTTGGATCGAATGATATGCAACATGACCTGGTCAGGTCAACCTGAGGTCAAGTTTTAAAAACGGCCTTTCAAGGTCTAATTATAGTTCATTCGTCCCGACGAGAGGAACACTATGCTAACGGCAAAATAAATGTTGTGACTCTTGAGTGGAAAGTATTACAGAAAACATGTTGGTAAAAACGGCTTTTTTAGAGTTTTTGCTCTCTGGAGGCTTAATTGTTGACCTAAGGTCAAATCTGAGATCAAACGCCAGCAAAAAAAAAAAAAAAACGTCGAAAGGGCTTTTGACTGCATTTTTCCGCGGGCAGCTCTTTTGGTTCCGAGTTAAGCACCAGTTTTTTTTTTCGAAAATATTGAAATAAGCAAAATTTGGCCTTTCCTGACCTCTGGTGACCTGGCACTTGACTTGACCTTAAAATTACCCAAGTATTTCCTTAAATATCTTTTATGCTTTTTCGAATGCCGCTTACTGCGTGTCGCTACGTGGCCCAACCCCAACAGCCGAGTTAGAAGAGGGGACGTGAAGACGACCCCCTCCCCCCAGTACATCACGGTAAACAGAGCACCAGCACGGCGCGGTTTAACATTAATTTTGAGCTGAAGTAACTTGATAACTTTTGATATTTCAATCAACTTGCATGCCCTATAACTTCCGTTTCTCTTACTGGCAAAAGAAAATCTGACTTTTTTATTGTGTTTTCAGGGAACGGCCCATTGAGCCTCCTCTGCATCTTGGCGGAGAAGGCGTCAGTGGTGGCGTACACGGGTGACGAAAATTTGGATCACCCCTATCATAACAAGTCCGAAGAAAACGAACGGTGCCGCCTCATCGTGGAGCGAACGGAAGTCTTGTGGGGATCCATGGTTTGGAAGGGAGTCTTTTGCTGTGGGCGACGGCGCACTTTGTGCTCAGTCAACAAACGGCGCATTAAGTGCGAAACACGCTGTGGTTTGTGTGTATCCAATTCCATGTGCTCCACACACCATTCAATGCTGAGCGCCAGCCACCTGTAGCCGCGAAGACTGAGGTCGAGAAGCTGGCAAAAGAGTGAAGCTGAGCTGACGTGGAGTCGATCCCCCCCCCCCCCGACGCAGTTTGGCGTGTGTCAGAATTGAAATACAGCGCAATGCGACCGTTTCTACAAACATGTATTTCTTGTAAGGGCTGGGGCGAATAGTGCAAGACTAGACGTTGGTCGGGCATGGTATAATACAGATATGTATGCTGGTTTTGGGCAATGATTCGTTATATATTGGCCAATCCCAATATATAGACTAGCTGCCTGGTAGTAGCTGTTGTATCAGCATCATGCATGCATATTGCATAATGCTGATGCGGCAGCTGTTATCATGGGTGGTGAGCCTATACATTGGCTTGAGCCAATATAAAACGAATCAGATCAGCCGTTTCAGGCGGCGCCTGAGTAACACCCGAGTATCGTATGAGTTATCGATGTGAGTACGTCCTGAGTACAGCCCTAGTTTTCACTGAATAACCGATGAGTTCCACCTGAGTTATGGCCGTACTACCACCTGAGTTATACATTAGTACCAGCTGAATTACATGTGAGTTACTTCCTAGTTTTTCATGAGTAATGACTTACTAATACCTGAGTTTGGCCTGAGTTGTCTGAGTAGGACATGAGTTACGCATGAGTACTTGCTGAGTTTTATCTGAGTTTTACCATCGGACAAAATGGCAACTCACTTTGTTACTCACATGCTACTCACTTGCAATGAGTTTTGCCCGAGTTTTACCTGCGTTCCGCCCTGAGTTTTACCTGAGTACGCGGATTTAGAGTGAGTTTTACCATTGGACAAAATGGCAACTCAGTCATTACTCAGAAAAGTGAGTAAAAATTTCTTTCAGTGTAATTTTTCGCATACTTCTTAACAATGAGCCAAATATTTTTTAAAGAAATAAAAATTCAAAAAAAAATGGTCCCAAAGTCCAAAAAAATACAAATGAAACAAAACTCGATATGTCATATATCAAAATAGCGTATTTTTCGAAATTTCAAAAGTACATATTAATCTCTGTTTCATTGCAAGTTCAATGTTATATAACATTTGGCAATTGAATAATCCGTCTTAGAGTTACAGCCCGCCAAACTTAGCGCTGCAAAGCAAGATCCAAAAAATGTTATACACCATAACTCAAAAAATACTTATCTGATAAGCCTGAAATTGTTACAGGTGGATTCAGAGCCCCTGATTACCCCTGAGACCAATTCTCGTCAAATTCCGAGAGATGAGGGTGTCAAATTGGAAAAAAGTGGTACGATCTATCGTGGAATGCCCCAGTTGGTTCACAGTATTGACACGTTTGAAATTCCCGAGAGTTGTCGGACCGCTTGGCTTCATCTATATTCTATGGTGACTCAATCCAAATAATATTTGATTCATCTTTAACATATTACAATTCGTGATCAAAAACACCCAGATTGTCATCATTTGGACAGTTTCTAAGCGCGGGGTTGTTCGGGCGGTTCGGGCCATTTAAAAAAGGTGTGGAACATATTTTCGAATTTGACTCTGGTGTGCTTTTTACTAGTTGCGCAAAAGCGACATTTAGGACGCAAAACAAGCGAGCCGAAAAACATCTTCAAACCAATGAGCGAAAACATGGGGGCAGAAAAATAATCCGAGGATACTTTTCCCGTCAAATCAACTGTCTGGGCTTATGGAAGAATGGTAAATGTAGATTTTTTCCCTTATACCTTTCTGAATTTGTGTTTGTGTTTGTGTTTGAATTTGTGTTTTATTCATCATTTATGTCAATGAACTACCAAGCCTGGTCAGAAGCAAGATTAAAATGTACGCAGACGATACCAAGTTGTATGGACCTGTTAGTAATCAAAGTGATGCTCTAAAGCTGCAAGCTGACCTGGATATACTCACCAAGTGGTCTGGAGAGTGGTTGTTGCAATTCAATTTGGAAAAATGCAAAGTAATGCATTGCGGCTCCCAAAATCCTGGATTCACTTACACAATGAAAACAGTAACTGGGCGGCCACAAATGCTTGAGGAAACTCTTGTAGAAAAGGACCTTGGAGTGTACATTACCAACACACTGAAACCTTCATTGAACTGTTCTAAGTCAGCAAACAAGGCCATGTCTGCCCTCAGGGTACTGAGGCTGACCTTTGGTCAACTAACAGTGAAGAACTTCAAAACCCTTTTTTCGGTGTATGTTAGACCTCATCTTGAGCACTGTGTGCAAGCGGCTGGTCCCTATTTGAATAAGGACATGCAAACACTTGAAAAAATACAAAGGAGGGCCACTAAACTAGTCCATGGATTGAAAAGAGTACCATATGAAGAACGTTTGAAAGTACTAAACATGACAAGTATGGAAGAAAGGATCAGAAGAGGAGATTTGATAGAAACATTTAAGATTCTTAAGGGGAAATTGAACGTACGCCCAGGTCAATTTTTCACTAGCCACCACGGAAGGACGACCAGAGGTCACCAGCTCAAACTTGAGATACGGAGGTCCAGGACCCAAGCTCGAGCAAAATTCTTTGCAAACAGAGTAGTCTCAGCATGGAACAAGCTGTCTCAGGAGATCATAATGTCTGAAAACACAAACACTTTCAAGAACCGGCTAGACAAGCTCAGGACCACTACGGCGCTATCCTCCACAGTACCTAAGTTACCCAGTCTGGCCCAGTTTAATGCTCGAAGTGAGCACCGAATAGACCCTGTCTACCATAGCTCACTATATTAAACTTAAACTTAAACTTGTCTATTTCATATTCGTACCTGGTTACTTACTAAAGCACCATTGGCCTTGCTTCAGCAATCTTTGCTTCAGCTCCAATATTGATTTCAATGATAGTGCGATAGTGCAACTCTGAAGTCTGGACCAAGGCGGTATATACCCTCTGACCACAGTAAATCTGCACCACACCGCACTGCATAATGGCAGAGCGTCGGCACTGAAGAGATCTCGTTAAGATTACTTTCCCTCTTTTGCAGTCTGTTGGTTGGCCAGGGGCGTTGTTCACGTGGTGCATCCATCCGTCGACCGTCTGTACCACCTGTGTACCTGTAACCCACAGCTTTTTAACACATGTACATTGTGCACCTGATGGGCGAACTGCTTATTTAGGTACCGACCCACAAAGAATTTAAAATGTTTCAAATTCTGTGTTTGAAAAGAACTTGACTTATAGTGTCAATTCTCCCATTCACATTAGCACATAATTCTGTAATCCACCATCCGCCAAGCCTCATTGGACACTTCCCTGTTTGCGGTTTGTCACAATCTGATTTAGTTTGATTTCATTTTACTAGTTTATTATGTCATTTATCTCACATTCAATAAGTATTATACAATACAGTCCCACATGTGACAGGGTACTCAGCCTACATGATAGTGCAGCAGACTTCACAGTTGGAGCACTGCACCTTTTACACATTACATAACAATCTCATTTTGGTGGTGCTTCTGTTAAACAGTTCCAATAAGCACGGTAATGTGGCAAGTGAACTTGGCCAGGTTCAGGGCTGTTCGTTGTACAGCTAGCTACAGCACTGCTGTTGTAGCTACAGCACCGCTTTTATGATGTAGAACTCTGGGCAGGGGACGACTGGAGGCCAGTCCAGCCTCTGGGCCTCCGTTGTCACTGTCCCTGGGGATGACGGCGTAGGGTGGTTATCGCCGCACCATCTTTTGTGCTCAACGGGCAGCTTTTATGCTGAAGCTTTGATTTTGGTATTTTGTTGAATTCTTCCTACAGTTCTATAGAGTGGTTTTGTTTTTTGTCATTCTTAGGGTCATTTTGCCCAATTCCTGACTGATTTTCCCAAGCATAGGCTGGCACTGGCCAAATGTTGGTCATTTCTGCCTGATTGGGTGCTAGTATGACTGATGGGATAAAACATCACTCATCTGGCCATGTCGTACCGAACTCTAGCTAGCGTCCTGAGAACCCTTGCCTGAAGCACCACATCATTGGTCAGAACTGGATATCGCCGTCGGTTTTAATCGTTCCGTCCTCATCTTGCGCGGAACGTTTGCCCGACCACGGCTTGAAGCGTTGTCGAACTATGTGCCGCACCTGGCCTTTGGAAGGAACGCTGCTGCGAGCAGCGATCCTCTTGGCATAGTCTTCCACTTCGTGTAGCATGTCGACAAGATCATTATCAGGCACGTCTTTTTCTACCGATTCGTCTTCAGGGCAGTCAACTTCAGATGGCTTATACGTCCAGGTTTCGGGCCCATCTCGCTTGCCCGTCCAGGGTTTGAAACTTCCCCGTTTGCCTGTCCAGGGCTTAAAACTCTCCCTCTTGCCTGTCCAAGGCTTGAAGCTTTCCCGCTTTCCTGTCCATGGTTTGAAACTTCCTCGCTTCCCCGTCCACGGTTTGAACACGTTTCTCTTTCCGGTCCACGGCTTGAAGCCGCTGCGTTTGCCAGTCCAGGGCTTGAAGTTGGCCCGCTTGTCCTGCCAGTCGTCGAGCCGGTCCGTGAGCTCTCCGCTGGTCGGCTCGTCGGCGACCACGCCGACCGGCCCGGACCGCTTACCCGACCAGGGTTTGAAGCCGACCGACTGCCGGAGGCGGCGCTGGCGCTGCTGCAGCTGCCCGGTCTCGGTAAGTAGCTGCAGCAGCCGGTGCGGCAGCACCGAATCTTGTGACTCGAGCAGCAGCAGCTCCTCCGGTGTGGCGTCCGCGGCGGCGGCGGCGGCGGCCAGCAGAGCAGACCAGGTCAGCCACGTCAGCAGCATCTCTGCCGGCACACGGCGGCGGTCAGATGGCGGCCCAGGGACGGGTAACGGCGACACAGGGACACGGATACATACGACAGGGGTGTGAGATGTCGGACGGATCACACAATGGCGAAGGTATTACCGGCCGCATGTAATGATGTACGTACATAGTAAGTGGCGGTGGTTGTGTTGAATGTCCTGCTTTTAGACGGCGACTCTTGAGGTTAACGACGTGGTTGAACAAAGTTGACTGAGCTACGGATGTAATGCAGTAGGTATAACGGCCTCGTTTGGTTGTTTACTTCAGTTATTTCAGTTATAATATTTGTGAAGCGCAGATAAACATATGTTTCTTCCTTATTTTCACCTCTATTTATCAACATATAATTAACTTCCGAAACTTGGAAATCACTACTGTTGACAGGGAGGTGAGAACTGTGCAAATGGACAGCGGTGCCTCTGCGCCCGACCGAGTCCATTTGACCTGTCGTGTTGAATGAAATCGCGAGAAAATGCATCTGTATCGATGGCATTCTACATTCTCCGCGCTTACAATCGGTGGGCGAAAGGAAATTTGTCTGTCCGACTGAGAGCTTGCGGATTCCATCTGCTCTTTTGATCAATCGCGTTCGACCTAGTATCGGTGACAGCGCCGCGCCTGAGGCACTCCTCAGTGGTGGGCGACACGGGAGAGCCCCTGCCGGCCGGACGTGTGATTGCCGCTATACATCAAAATCAAAGGCCGCTGCGGACCTGCAGTGAACGCTCACGGCGCTCCCGGTGATGGTATTAGTATGTCGCTAATTCAAGGACAATTTTTCAGTTTCTTCATTATTGAGCTCTTCCGTTCCTTTCTTTTTAAAATGCCACGCTCGCACGCTGCTGCTAGGTAAGCAATGTATTGCATTATATCTCCTGGACCAAACGTGTCGCGAAATCGCTCGTCGAAGTATGCGAGGGCACATGACGGCTGGTCCGTCAGCTGAAACTCCAACCACCCGCTTCCATGGACGGTGAAACCGACAGCTCCATTGAAATAAATGGCCGAGCGCCGCCAAGAAGATATCCTAACTGGCCATCTCTCAGATTTATCTCCTGACGTGTAAGCCAGGAGATGTGCCACCTTATTTATGCTTCATCCACCTGCTTTCTTGTTACTCTGCTTTATTCACCATCGCAATTTTTGTCCATTTTTCGCCGTGAGATCGTTTTATAGAAAGGCTTGTGAGATGAGAAATGTCTTGAATGCCAGGAGTTTATGAGAGGAGCGCACTTATAAGTATATTAGCAACTCATATTTTCCCGACTTCATAATTCAACGCTACGTGCTTATCGTCGTTAGTATTTTCCACAAGCCCTATGGTTATGCGCCAGTCTGATGCCAATTAACTGGTCTTGGGTCCAGTGTTCCAAAATTTGTAGATGTTGGTGGGAAATGACATCCAAATGAAAATCATTTTCCACTCTCACCTCCAGTTTTCAAGCCCAATTTTCCACCCAATTCCACCGAGAAGGAGCAATTGCGTGAATGGTTGTTTTGCATCTGTCACAATTGTAGATAGATTAATGTTTTTGATCATTTTCCCACTCTTTTTTGGGCCTTACCTGACCGACAATTTTTCACTCTCATCCTTTTTTGGTCAGCAATTTTCCCCTCTGACACCCAAGCAAAAATATAATTTTGGGACACTGCTTGGGTCGGGCTATCGACGTTTGTGTTGTCTCACGTGCTTCTTTCACCTTTTGCTTTCTTGAATCGTTTTTGGCCAGTGACCATGCATTGTGAATGCCTTCCAATTTGGGCATGCAATGTTTACCGTTGGTTTACCGGGCCTTACGAGATATAGTACCTACCTGTTGAATGAAAGATCTTAGATCTTACCTGCTGATTCACCAGGTCTTTATTGAGTCGCATCTGCGTTGAGAATTTATGCCAATTTCCTTATCATTCATACCCATTGTTTCGAAGAATTTTCGAAGAAATTCGCATTCGCTGCGCAACTGCATGGTTCATTTGTAACCAGTTTTATTGAAATGCTAAACTGCATATAGCTCAGCCCTCAACTTTCTCACCGCATATCATCAATGACCGTCCGAAAGAGCAGGCATGGGATTTCAGCATCGATAATCTCCCGCCCTGTGATGCACTGTCGGTATTCGGTCCGTGCCTTTCCGGAACCGGCTGCTCAAGGGTTCTCACCACACATCGATTGTGCCTCAAATGAAAACACGGCTGTCTGAACACCCATGTGGGCGTTGGCACAGCGCGGAATATCGCGTCCTTCTCCACATGGTCGGCGATGTGTGCTCAGCGCATGGATATGTACGGCCGAAACTGTGGGGCGACACGTCACATTGGATATATTGCAGTCAGCAACTGGGGATGGTCTGAAGTGAATATTGTGCCCTTAACTAAGACACTTGAAGCACTAGCGTGATTCAGCTGGGACGCGAACGGAAAATGAACTATGCACGTCACTTGCGGACAGTATATGTACCTGCGCCTGCGATTGGTACTTTAACCTGCTAATTTTGTGATGCTTCCATTTTACACAATTTAAATGCAACTTTGGAATGAATTGCGACATGACCCACGGTGTAACTCGGTGTACAAAGGTCTATTTTTACGATTATTGGAATGTCGTTCAAGCAATCAAGTCTTAACCTGTCACTAGCATAGTGAATCGTTAAAGGGACACTCCCACCTTAAAATTAGTTTTGAGTTGAGATAGCCAAATTGGTGGCCATGGCCTGCTAATACCGGTTTGGGCACTCACAACATCGACAAATGCTTTGATTCGGAGATATGGAATTTCAAACTTGCAGTTTTCGGATTCTAAGGGGCTAGTGCATTGGTATGCCCCCTTAGAATTTGTGACGTCAGCGGAGATCTAACGATTTTTAAATCTTTTACTAAAACGTTTGGTAGCACGCGGTGGTATATGTTGCTTTGCGCGCAACAAATGCCGCACTTTCAAATAAAGTCGCTAGGAACAGCGGAGATCCCAAAAAGTAAACAAAAGTAAAAGTCTAATATCTTGAAAACCGGTGAATATTTTTCGATGAAATTTGGTAGATATTCGTTTTCGCTCTTTCTGAACCGAGCGACATCACTTTCGTGCCAATTCATTAACTTTTTTGAAGGTGGGAGGGTCCCTTTAAGCTGAATAGTGATGAGCAGGGAGCGACATTTTGTTGTGCATTGTGCCTTCGCTGTCCATCAGGCCTCCCATATTTCTCGAAGATATGTATCATTTATTTGTTCTAATCAGACGGAGAGGCGTAACCCAATTGACCTTTAACTGACTTACTACCTTTTACATGTTTCCGATTTGATTGGTGTCAGTCTTTTCGGGGATTAATCACAGCTAAGTGGACCATTGGCGATGTGTTTGCCAGACGTTGATATTTTCTGCACGTTATTTCTTGGTATTCCACCATGCGGCACATGCCATGCATTTGGTACGCGCTGAATGCAATATTATTCCATCGGTGTTTGACCTTATGATAGCTCTGTGATTTCTGTGAAAGAGCTCTGGCAAAACGCACTGAATTTATGCAACTCGTGCGCTGACCCGAGTCGCCCCACGATTCATTTAGTAAATAAACTATGTATGTTTTTCCGCCTTCCCCCCCCCCACACACACACACATGCGCCTGCCAAAGCTCTTGAGAAAAACTTGATGGACGTGTGCCTGTAATGTTCATTTCAACTTTAGAGAATATGATACGTGATCGTCATCAACTTTAGTCGACTGCATGTAGGAAAGATCCTTTTCGTTCACCCTTTCAGTGCGAATGACTGCTTTAACCTCTACTGACTCCATGCCATTTCGGCTTCTTGGGGCGCACTTGTTGGTTAGCAACCACTGAAGAGAGCGCTTTGCGGTGACAGCGCCGTTTGTCCTGGCTACACCGATAGCGGGCAGCTCTGTTGCTCTGCAAATGATCTGCAGGACGTTTACCTACCACGCAAGCTAGCCTGTCTGGCGTTCAGTCACGGATACGAACCGAAGTGTACCAGCTGCGGACCACCTACGACGTTAATGGATCACTGAACCCTTATGGGGATGTCATGGTCGATGTGATGCATCTCGATCCCGCAACTTTTTTGCCACATGCGTCTCCCGTCTAGTCTCTGGAGCTATGGAGTGCATGCTTCGACTTCATCGTCTAATGGCTGATGTTGCCGTTTAAATGCTTATGATAAGGTCATGCCATTTGCCTGTACGACTAGAATGATAACCCAAGAGACGATATTCACCGGAACGATGTGATTTGAAAGACGAGATAGAGGTATTCAATAATAATTTCTGACAAACGTTAATTGCGAGCTAACCTGTTTGTCCAGCTCATGCTATACCCATGATGCTTCTTTATATAGGTTACCACTACGAATCATCACTTCAAGGGTACGGTGCTTCGTAGCTTTTTTTAGCGTTCTTTCATTATTCATACATATTTTATCTTACCACTACAAGGGGCGGTCATGTACTGATCGATCAGTGTGTGTCTCTAACCTCTCTGATAACTGCATATAAGTGAACTGTTTAACAGTTTATGCACTTCTTTTTTGTTTGATCAAATGGTGACACCGCGATTATCTGTCTTCGCATTGTCACGTGTACTTTTTCAAAGACTGAGCTGGGAGCACTGCCAGTTTGGCTCGAATGACAAAGCTCTGAGAGCCGAACAGACCGGGAGCCGAACAGTGCGTTATACCGAATTAAGATGCGTTTTAATTCCCGTCCTTTTTATTCTTTTCCGTTTTGTTACATTTTAATATACTAAAGCGTAAACTTTGGACGGAAATTTTTGTCGTGATCTGATCTGTGTCGCTCGCGTTTACGCATAGTTGCATGCAGTGTCATGACCATGTCCTGACGAAAATGTGCCGAAAGTTGTTGGACATCTCCGAAATTGAGTGTGAAAAGGCCACATTCTTACTTTTGTGTTTTTTTTTTTTTTGCAGGAAATGTCCTGAAGAAATGCGGTCTGTACTTAGTTGCTGAGCTGCTTAATTTTACCTAGGCTGATGTTTTGATCGGACCGAAACTGTTCAAGAAGTGAAGCCGCTGAAATATACGCGGGGCCGAAGCTCAAGTGGAGCGAGTTTGAAACTGTAAGTATTTTTCGCCCCCCCCCCTCCCATCGATGATTTTCTGCCGAGTGTCGGGACCATGATTTTGGTGATATGCTCTTGAAATATCGGCTCGGCTTGTGTTAAGTTAAGCAACATGTGCACAGTCATGGTGCATGTTCCTGATTTTTTAGTTTTTATTTTTTTATTTTTAGATCGTGTATGAAGATTGATGGATCGATCTGTCATGATGCATGTGTGTGTTTTTCTCAATTCCCGAGTTGAGTCGATCACGCGTCTCACCTGCGGTCGTCTGGGCGGCGTGTGGCGGCGTTGGTGGCGCGGTGCTCCCCGTGCTGTGGTCAGGCGCACACCATGTCGGCTCGTGCAGCGGAGATGACCGGCGTCTGACGGATTGGCCGGCCGGCGGCGCGCCTTTAAACGGGCCGTCGGCGCCGACTCTGAGCGGCCACCGTCGCTGACAGACGCCGACGTATTGCCGATTTATCCCCCCCCCCCCGCATCTCCACCCCGCGACAATGGAGCGGAGAGCCCATCCCACCCACTCGACACAGATAGTCAGTGGTGAGCTCACTGCAAGGGAGGTGCAGGCGGGTGTTGTTCGTATCGCCTCCCGGGCTTTCCTGCACGGCTAGCGACACTTTTCGGTTCAGGTGTGTGTGTGGGGACGGGGGTTGGTTTCCTCGAGTCCGCCTCTTTGAGCAATGCGCACAATTATTCCACTTCACAATCGCTTATGATTGAAGAGACGATCGTTACAGGGAAATTTTTCCTTAAAGTGTTTCCATCTTTTGAGCATCTGGAGGACTAGCATGATGCCGAACGACAGAGTTTAGCAACCAATTAACGTTAGAATAGCTGCGTTCGGTTCATTCGCATGCACTGGACGAGCACAATGCCATTTAGGTACTTAGTTCCCTTCGTATGCTTAACACTTTCCAACATTAAGTAAAACACTTGTTGAACCTGGGGAAACAGTCGTGAAATAGTTTCTGGTGAGATGTTATTGATTTGCAGTGTTGTTTTTCAGTGACGTTCGGCGGTTTGCCTTCGTGATTAATCTGAACAAGCTGCCTTCCCCGCTGATCCCGACTTGAACCGGTCACTTCTGGACCAGACTGCGCTTGTTGTTGGTGCCCTTGATTGCGTTTTCTTCAAATAAGCTAGCTGTTCAACTAAATCCATTGATAGCAGTCGCTCGCTCTGTGGCCTTATGTACCTATGGCGTCCATTTGCATCTATTCGTTCATCTTCGGATCAACTGAAGCCTTGCTTTGCGACGGTTTTTGATTGTTCCTCTTTCCATGTACGCGTTATGCAATGTCAGCTATCCGATCCATCTATCGATGGGTTTACGTTAGTGAGACTTTATTGACTGTTCGGTAGTTCCCTCCGTTGTTGTGTCGCCTCGGTCGCTTTGCATGTTTGTTTTTTTTCTTATTATGGATTGGTTATTTATTGTCCTCGGCTAATGTATGAGAAAACCGAGAACAGTATACCTATATCCAACACTGACCAAAAAGCGTGTTTTTCTTTTTAGTTAGGTTTGAACGTTCTTAGCGAACAGATGACGGAGGGTATAAAACTATGTTCTTTTGTCATAATACCACCGGCAATAATCATATCCCGCAATATTCATTGCTTTTATTGATATCTCAAAACATATACCTTGCACATAACACCCTACCGGACAAGGGAGCTGTTATTAACTTTAGCCTATCACTCAACAGCCTACCACGGGACGAAGGGGTATCGTTATTGTCTTAATCACACTCATCGTGTAGGCGCGTCTGCGACTTAAAGGGAGCATCGGGAGCTTTGGGTTGCAATGGTCTCCGCAATGCATACGACCTAAACCCCAACTCATTGGAATGTAGGATTACTGCATGCCAACTGTTGCGTCCAAATATTTCGTCGTGCGCGCGTTCACAGACCACTGTGCGGCTGCTTTTTGGCCTTCCGACGTGGACCGGGGACGTGGGCTCGACAGATCAGCGGAGCAGGGGTGTGGGGCGGGTCACTGGGCCAGCCTCAACCACAGTGGCCCGCCAGGGAGCTCAACTCGTTCCACCTGAACTGTCTTGTGTTCGTTTTGTCCTTGGGATGCTCAGTATTCGCTAGAGTACCTAAAGCCTAACGAGAAACGGGTTGATACTTTCTGTCGGGACCAGTATTTTCTTTTTTCTGACGTTTTTCGCCATGGTCTTGCTCGATTTGATCTTCGGCAGCGTCGTTTGATGTTCTGTTTGGTAATGACGTCCCCCCCGCTCCCACGCGCCTCTTCTGCCGTCCTCGCCCGCCGGATATCATTCGCTCCACCTTCCTCGGGTTGCGGTAGCGGACCCTGTGCGGACCCACCCCAGGTCGGGCCTGCTCAGGAGCTGTGTGGGTTAACGGCCCGTCTCATCTGGATCGCTGCGTCTTCCCCGCGTCGCCCAAAAGTCGGCGTTACCGTTGTCTTTCTTCCCTCGTGATGCCCAAAAGTCTCCGCCGCCTCCTTCGCCGCCGCCGCCTCCTCTCTTCTTGCCCCGTGACGCCCAGAACTCCTTCTTGCTGCGGTCGTCGCCCTCTGGCCCGTCTCTGTCGAGTTTCGACCCGGCCGCCTCCCTCTGCGGCACGCCCTCTCTCGCCATGCGGCGGCTGCCGTTGCCGTTGTCGATGCGCGCCTCCCACTCTCGCTGCCTCTTGCGGGGCAGCCCGAAGAAACGGCGCGCCGTGGCCGAGGTCATACCGGCGGCCGGTGCTGGCAGCCAGCGGCGCACCGGCACGTCCCAGTAGTGGACGGGCACGGGCCGCTTCCCGCGCGCCGCCCAGAATACCACGTCCTGGCGCCGCCGGCGCTGTAGCAGCGGCAGCGAGCGCAGGTCGCCAGGGAGCGGGTCTGGAGGAGGTGCCCGCTCCAGAGGAGCGGTCACGGTCGAACCGACCGGGCCGGCGGCTGACCGCTGCACGGCGGTAACCTGGCGACAAAAGGAGGGGTTCCTAATATAAGAACGGGCATTGAACGTTGCTATTTCGAACAAAACGTCGGCATGGTTGAAAGGCTCGGTGTGTCAAAAGTGGCTGCTTTTGGAACAAGATGGCACACTTGCCAGGCCTCACTCAAGGTACTGTGCTACTTGCTAGTCACTTTCTTTCTAGTCTTTGGATGGTCCTGGAATGTGTTATAGAAAAGTGCGAAAGTTATCAGGTGAGTTATGCTTTAAGCACAAAACAGATATTTAACTCAAATATTTCTGTTTCTTGGTGGCGGCCAAACATTCACGTGGCCGAAGTGCATCGTTGGTTTTAAAATCATTTGAATTAAAATGTTTTGCGAAATGCGAGTAATAATTGCTAATTCCTGTTTGCTCGAAGGGCAGAATTCGATTACACTTCGTTGAATTGATAATTGCCATTGAAGTCGCTTAAAAGAATGTACGTCAGACATATTTTTAATCTTAGGATATTTAAAAAGCTGTAAGGGCCCTATTGATTTCGATTTATTTATTTTTATTTCGTATGTGTATATTTCACTACCCGCAAATATTACAAGCAGTTGACTTCAAAGCAAAATACTTATTTTTCCTGCACTTTATTTTCAGCCATCAGTTTTCAATCGCTCAGCTTGAAATGAACATCGCTAATTGAGAAGCGAAAACTTTTCTCAGCATTGGCCACAAATCATGCATGCGGAGCGATTTGCATTCAGCGATCCGAGTATTCATGGATGCAGTTGAATGTGTCATTAGTTGGCTGGGCTGCAGGGGCGGGTGCTCACTCCGTATACCGACCCCACAGGTGTGGAGCCAGCGCCGCCAGGGACAGTGCGATGGCATGGTCGGAAGTATTATATGAATTGTGGTCGGAATAGTCATCTGTCTAATTCTGCTTACAAGAGCGACGCCGTAGTACTCGTGCGCGATTATTGTGTACCGGTATTGTGGAAAGATCATTGGAACTTGTAAGTGAGGTTTGAATAGCTCAGGAGCGCGTGGATAGTTCTGCATAAAATCACTTAATTTTCGGTTCTTCAATAGGGCCGGTAATGTTTAATTGTAATGCTAAAGCATAAAACTTCGTGATGAAATTGAAATGTTCTCTACACTCAATGCCTTTAGGGAATGATAATAATTGACTGACGTCTGATCGGTGGCGGACCGGCTTTTAGAAATCAGCCGGCAGTCTGACAGGTTATAGCGTTTTCTGCGGAACAGGCAGACGATGGAGCTTATGTCTCGACTGTCTTTGTAAATGTCACCTGTACAATTTCACCGCAAGTTGCAAGTGCTCGTGGGTGGCACACCGAGTAATTTATGTTATTTCAACTCCCAGGGGGCGAAGGCCACTTGCCAGTCAGGGCACGGGCGCTGCGATTGCTCTTTTGAAAACTTACGCCTGACAGGACCAGTCAAAGTGGGTTTAGTGTCGGTTGCTGAAAAATTCACAATCTCCGCCGGATTTCGGTGATAAGAGAGCATCCGCCAAGTGTCGGCTCTAATGCTGTGTTCGAATGCTAATGGCAGTGTGGACCGAATGTGCTTTGTCCTGCGCTGTATTGTGAAAGACACCATCTAACCTTTCGCCACTGTTTCTTTGAAACACGGTCAACCGATATTGTTTATTTATCTTGCAGCTTTACACCTGATGTTAAAATACACATTTTTTAGATAGATGGGTACCTATGTACTTTGTAGTTTAGTGCTAATCTCGTGAACTGACGTCACGTGGTACGTGACAACACAAATAATCATGCAACTTTGAATCCCATAGATAATACTTGATGGGTACCGACCTCGAACTGACTGCTGGCTAGCTGCGTCACCATGGCCGCAGAAAGGACAGCATATATTCAGCAGATTTCAAGCACATTTATGTGCTCAATGCACTGTAATTTCAGTGAATATACTGAAAGTCATTTATTGTTCATGTAGTTAAACAAGGAATGGACCAACTCTCACTCATATCTTTTTTTGTCGAGCTAAACCCAATTCGTTTAACTCCTCGGCAGGCGTGTGGCCATTTGCCGTCCTGTCGCACCATGCGTTTTGTTTACCTGTGCATCATCGGCCGAGCTGCAGGTGCCCAAGCTGATGCTGAACAGAATCACCTTCAGGCTCAGCTGTGTCAGCATTGGCAACGGCGTCTGTTCACCTGGAACACAAACAGATCAACGGTGATATAGTGCCGGGCGCGGTACGACTGAAACAGGCGCAGCGGGCCTATCTGCTACTACAATCACCAAACTCCCGCCACAATCCATCCATTTTTGCATGTATGTATGCATGTTTATATGTACGTATGTATGCCATGCATTTATGTATTTATATTGTATATGCATATATATTTTCATTAACCTCTTCCGTGCGAACTCAGCTTTTTCAGAAGTTCGAGTCATACACAGCTAAGAGAACTTAAACTGTAGGTACATGGATCTCAGTCATGACACATATGTATAGGCTCCTCCCCAACCGGAACTTTCAGGTGATTAATTTCGCCCACTTTCATACATCATTCTGATTTCTGAGTCTGTTCTGAAATGCCCGCTCGAAAAGCTCTGCAACACAATCTTTGACAGTGACAGTGTGCTCCAAGAGGTGGAGGCGCGCGGTAAAGTACGTTGGAGAGCGGCGAGTCTTACTCTGGGCAGTCTGCTCGGACCGGGCGAGGCGGGTGTCCCGTCTCAGAGTAAATAATCGGCACATCACAATCGGGGTGTCCGAATCATGAAGCGCACGATATACACGAGTACATACAGTCCCGCTCTGAAATCACATCCTCAATGTTCACCCAGCCAAGAGACCTGAGCACGGGAGACATGTGCTTGGTTCGTCGTGCGCTAGTGAATACACGGGCTGCGAAATGCAGCGGCTAGCCCAAACTGGCAGACAGTACAAGATGTGGCTGAATACGTGGGCTTGGATGATGGCCAGACGTGCTTCAGTAGTGAAGTGACGTGAGACGTCTAAACTGATCCAGAGAGGATGGGCGCAAATTGACCTTTGCAGTCGGCGCGCCCAAACACCCCGATAAACAAACAACGATACAGAGGGACGAGAATGCCTGTACATCGGTGAACTACCAGCGACACGTGGTTCTCCCATGTGAGGGATTCGTCAATGATGACACCTAATACTTTGATGCTTTTTGATGGGGTAAATTATGTTTGATATATTACTTTGCTCTCGCAGCATATGTTTCTTCTTCTCTGCTTAGTAGTATTTGTTTCTCAGCCTGAACCAATTATGCCTTATTAGTGGACGATTTCTCTTCCGCCTTTCTGTTATTGTTGTCATTGCATGGCTAGTGCCGTCGACACTCGACAGTAAAGATAAAACATGAAGAGCAGCTACTGGATATACCGATCACTTTCCGTCCATGACTGATCGCCTACACATCCAGACGTCAGTCGACTCATTAGCTGTCTCAAACAGCGGACAGCGCAATGCACTAGTCCGCAGCATGGTACATGTATTGCCTAAAATACATGCATTCAGTGATCACGTAGTTTTTTTCGTGTTTTACTTTTGCTACCGTTATACCTACAGACCCATTTTATCATGCGTACCCTAAGGTACTTTAGGCGTAGCCCTCCGGAATCACGCATTCAGGCTATGCCTTGGCACTGGCCGGTTTCGTTGAATATAGATGCGTTGATCCATGGTGCTCCCTAATTCAATGAAGGGATACTAAGAAATAGACAGACACTCTCATGCTGCATTCTCATGATTTGCACGTTCTTCCTTCCTCGTCTCTTGTAGCCGTGACGTTGCTTTAGCCGCTGCTGTTAAGTGCAAACTATTGCATGTAATTGCTTTTTTCTTCCTGGAAAACGTAAATGCTTTTGAATGAAAACATGGTATAATCGCAATATTAAATTAAGATTATACCCTCACCTCTTGGGAATCGGGTGGGACTCACAGTCAGCCTGGATAAGGCAGGACTTTATGCCCGATCAAAGACGCGGGCATAAAGGTCCTGGCTCTTGATGATAACAAAAATTGATTTAACATAGGTGCATTTCAAGTGAAATGCTTGGAACTCGTTTATGCAGTAATGATTAGAAAGGTTTGCTTCATTGATATTTGTAACATCTTCGAGGGTCTAGTTTTTATAATTGTACTTCTCCGATGTTTTCCCGGCAATGAAGTGTGCTTGTGGTGCGGCGGAAGGGCGCAAGGTTTTAGGCCTTTCTGCGCCGCGCTGGTGCAGGCTGACCTGTGGTGTGAGCCCTCCTTCGTATCGCCGTCGACAGTCCCGTAACACCGCCGACCGCTCAGTGCCCAGTGTCCAGCGCTCACTTTACAATAGTACTGTCGAACGTAAATTGGCGAAAACTTCGGGCGCTGAGGTCTCTTGGCATGCAGTAGGGGAAGTGAAGTTTGCTGCTGACTGGAATGGGAAATGGGAACGGCGCCGGCTCCAGGCAGATCAACACCACATGTTGCTCACCAAGACGGTTGTTGAGGCGCGAAAGGGAACATTCTTGAATGACGGGACCTTTAGAGGTGGATGTCATTCACAAGGGCTGTCAGAAGAGTACAAGAGGTCATGTGTTGTTGATTTTCGTGTTATACCTCAGGTCGATATTGCAGCGCCGTTTATGCCATGAGCCATGTGACCTGGATGACCTGGGTGACACGTGACCTCTAACTGGGGACGGTTGGACCCCACAGCGCATGTTGTGCTTGGTGACCTGAGTGACCGGTGGACGGTGACCTCCTACCTGCCTCAGGCGCCCGGTGGGACCACTGCTGACATGCCGGCCGGCAGCGGCGGCACCGGACAGGCTCCACGGGAAAAGTCAGGTCGTGCAGGGCTCCAGTGCGCCGCGACTCCTCCTACCCCGCCTTATCAAACCTCGCCCGGGGCGACTGTCTTGGCCCCGGGCAGGGTCCGGCACAGGATCCATTTATCGTCACGTCCTCACTTCACCTAAAACTGGCTCCTGCCGCCGCCCCTGCCCCGAGTTGACCCACTGAAGGTCGCCGACCACACCGTCACCATGACACTCCCCCACCGTCCGTCATTCCGTCACTGGCGTCCTGTGCACACCCCTGGCCACCTGTTGACCCTTGCTCACGCAGGCGGCCCGATGGCCACCTCATTGGCCGATTGTAATCTACCGGCACTGGGGCGGCGCGGCAGCCGGTTAGATCAGATTACCAGCGGTGTAATGCGGTTAGCGGTGCCTGCACAAACACACGCACGCAGCTAATGGTCGCCAATCGGTGCTAGAACTAATCTGGGTACGGCCGATTTAAAGGGTAATGGTGCCGTTCGGCTGGACAGGTGCCGGAGTGCGGTGGAGCTTCGCCAGCTGCCGACCAGCGTTTCGCTTTGCCTTGGAACCATACCGATTGGATGCTAAAGATTTGTTTCTGAATTGAGTTGAAATGAGCACGTATGCTATTCATAGTTATTTAGATAGGTATAGCCAGTGAGAAGTGCTGAAATGTATCGGTCTTGATGCTTGATGTCTGGCATTGGGTCTGATGCCATGGTAATCAATTTATTTAGTGTAGCAACTGATATTTTCTAACATTTCAGGCTGTTAGGTATGCACTTAGCCATATTTTCGAAGATCGGACGCTCCGGATGTTACGAGACTTACGATGTGCAGTTGCATCGCAGCGGCCATCCACATTACATTAGCCGATACATGATGATTTGCGTGCCGCTCATTCAGCTCTGATCCATCTCGATCGCCTTCCGTGAGCTCAACTCTGAGACCGATCCCTACTCTGCGGCGATGGCTCTGTATTTCTGCGCCACGCCGCTGGCGGTATGGGACGACTCGGATGATGGACGACGATATGGTATATTTACAGCGCCGAACGCGGCTGAGCTGGGTTTCCGTTCGACCGGCGGCGATTGACTGGTGCTCCGTTCGCAGGTTATCTCCGGGATCGGCCGCGCTGACCGCCGCTCCGCCAACGCGACGCAATGGTACGTGAACGGCGGCATTCTTCGAGAGCTTAACGGCGTTACACGCCTGGTGGCATCTCAATGTTTCACGCGCGCCAGGTCTGCTGAAGCCTGCCGCTTCAACGGAGGTGCTGGTGTGTTTAGTGAAACGAGTGAGCTGTGGTATAGAATGCCTTCGACTGCCGGAAAATGTGAATTTTGATAAGAGCTTTTGCTCGGCGACCATGCTGCTGCGCAGCATTGATGAACATGAACAATTGTCGATTTAAGACGCCCATGCGTGATGGATTGCTACAGCGTTCTTTTTATGATTATTTGCAAGAGTGCCCGAGAAGCCGCTGAGATGCGTAGTTATTTGTAGCTGGTAGAGACACGAGTATATGCAGTTGCACTATTAATATCAATCCTTGTATGATTATATAAGGGTTTCGATGACTATGGCTATAGTTGTTACTACGCCGTGATAAGAACCCAATTGGTTCTGGTAATTGCTGCAATGCACATTTTCTTTCGTTATGCCGTTGTGCTGCAAACTTTGCAAATAAATTGAATTGGCACGCGTGGCATGCAAATTGAATTGGCACGCGTGTGGCTTGCTCGCCCATAGACCACTCTTATTTTGTTTTGTATTGTACTAAATTTCCTATCAATCAAGTATTTCGATGCATGTTGAGACATTTTTCATTCATATTGTCTGTCGTCGTTTTCTGAGGCGCGCTAAGCATCCATGCGTCGTGTGTGTAACTGAGCCCATTTTTTCCAATTGAGAAGTTTCCATGTGCCGTGGTTCGCAGAGGTTCCAGTTTTGCGGCGAGCTGGACTGTCCGGACTGGGTACTGGCCGGTATCAACCTGCTCTCCAGAATGGTGAGACGACGACGACGCCTCATATAAACGCCAACGGTTCATTAGTTCACACTGCAATGGAGGTCACTATAGTCAGCGTTTGTTAAATGAATCACTTCTAAGTGTAAGCCTTCCCGGTACCTGTAGCTTAGGTCGCCTTATATGAAACTACTAGGCTGAATGAGGAAGCAGCGGAGGCGACAGCACCGTTTTCCATGACAACCCTGAGAGGCTGTAACGGATGACTGTCCGGGAAGTATGCGCCATGTTCTACATATTATTTACATTATTTCAGAGTTCCCTGAAGCTGAGGACGATGTGCTCCTTAGTGATGAAGAGTCTTCTCGGTGAAGAGCTTGATGTGAGTACGCACATGTCTTTTTATTTCTTTTTTTTTCAAGATAGGGGACGGAATGCCCACTGAAAGACAAAGTCGATACTCGATACATACTATCATTATATCATTCCTATATTTTTTTTTACCATCATGCACGAATGGTAACGAATAACTGGAATGAAGTTATGTGATCACCTGATTCTTATTGTTTGAATATATTGGTCAGACACTGTTAAAAGGGCTCGCAATTACGTGGGGTGTGTGAATGTTGCTGGTATTGATATTTGCCTCGCTATTATGGCCATTTTTTCGGCAACTTTTGCAAAGTCTGGTCACACAAAAATGCGTATTTTGCGTAGCTGTTTCGGCCTTGGAACCAGACGGTTGACCAAACTTTGAATTTGGAATTGAGAAACTGTCTAGAATATACAGGTGTGATGGTCGAATTTGCTCACTAAATTTCAAGCGGACTCATCCTTTCGTGTCTAGTCTACCTATACCAGGGCAAACTGTGATAGTGGAAAAAAATTCAACTATACCTACACATGATGTGAACACCCCCGACCCTCCCTTGGCCTTATCACCAACCGAACACCGCGTAGGCTGCTTAACCCAACTGTTTTTTTTCTTCTTTTTTAGATGGGCAAGGTCCAGAAGGTTTCGACGGATGCTAAGCTGAGTAAGTGTGTTTCTATATAGAAGTATGTTTTATGCTTACGAGCATTCCTTTTCCACCCACCAGATCGCACTTGCTGAAAGATGCAACGTAACAGTGAAGAACTGACAATGGACTTAACATGATATCTCTACCATTCACCCGCGCCCTGCTGGGGGAGGGGGCGTTTGAACACCAATCCCCCTGTGGTTTTTCGCACATGTCTAAAAAAACGGCGGCGCGGAGCGTTTTTGGAGCATCTTATCATACATCAATTCTACACATTTTGTGAAAATTTCAGACCAAGGTCACTAGGTCACTACAAGTGACCTCACCTCATAAAATTGCTTCAATGTCGCGATAGCTACACCGAGTAACCGATTGCTTTGAAACTTTCAGCGATTGATAAGAGCAAAAGTATGTACAAAATGTTTGTCTTGGAATTTTGATATTGGTGACCTAAGGTCAGGTCAATTTTGCGACCTCACCATTATAAGTCAATGGGAGAAAATTGAAAGGCGCCTTTTTTGACGAAAGTGGTTATAAACACTCAAACACTGAAATAGAAGTAACTTAGGCACACTGAACATGAAAATGGTATCCGTGACCCCTTTGCATGCGCCTGAGGTCATCTCTGGTCACGAATGGTATCACTAACAGTTTTTCGCGAATAACTTTTGATAGAGGCATGCTAGAGCGATGAAAACGCCTTAGATGTGTTCAGGTCGACGATACGGATCGACTGCTATGCAACATGACCCTTTCAGGTCAGGTCATAACCATGACCTGAGGTCAAATTTTCAAGTTGACATTTCACGGTTAAATTGTAGTTCATTCGATGCGTCTTGACGAGAGGAACACGATGCAGGTAAAAGCAAGGCTTGAGTCAAAAGTTATTGGAGAAAACTGTTTCCGAAAAAATCGGTTATTTTGGCAGTTTTTGCCCCCTGCAGGCAAAACCGTTGACGCTAGGTCAAATCTGAGAACAGTAATCAGAAAGAGCGTTCAGGGCTATCAAATGCGCTTTTTCGCGCTCTATTGGTTCCCGATTTATGCGTTGGCTTCTTGGAAATTGTCCACATTCGACCTGAACATCGGCGAAATTTTGCCTTCAATGACCTCTGGTGACCTGACCTTTGACCTGACCAAAAAAGTTACCTAAGTATGTTCGCCATTATTTTTGGCGCTCCGAACGCCGCCTTCCGCGTAACGCTACGTGGCCCAGGAGCCGAGTTACAAGGGGGGGGGGGTGTTCAAACCCCCCCCCCCCCCCCAGCAGGGCGTGGAAATCCAGGACTCCCAGCTGGGCGCGGGTTAATTGTGTGCGTAGTTTATCGGTAAAATTGCATGAAAAATTGTACATCAGCTAGCTGCTAGCATAATGCCTTCATAGCGATGTTCAGTTTATTCTGCCATTGGACCGTTTACTCTTTCCTCATTGAAACTTTGCGCCCGCCCCGCCGCCCTGACCCCCCCCCCCTCCCTCGGTACAGCGGAGCAGGAGCAGCGGGCAGCCGTGGCCGTGCTCCAGTATATTCTGGAGTCGGCCGTCCGCCACTCGGTGGCTACCGACCAACTGGAGCAGGAGCTGCAGCAGCTCGGCCTGCCGCGCGAGCACACCGCCAGCCTGGGGCGCGTGCTCGACCAGCAGCGCCACCCTCTGCGGCGCACACTGCTGGAGCGCACCGTCAAAGGTGGGCCGCGTGGGATGGATGGGGTTAGGGTGCGACTGTTCGTAGTGAATCTGGACTGGATTAGGGTGGGTGGGGTGAAACATGTGATAGGATCAAAAGGCATCGTAAGCGTGGATCGTGTACCTCGGCTGAAAGGCCATCGTAAGTAGGTATGTCGTGTCTAGATAAAAGTAGCGTCCAGTGGGGCTGGGCGATGTGGGTTCTTTTAGACGAAAAAGCCTTAATTTGGGTACGTGGTATACGACTTACAGAACACCGCGCTGCATGAAAACCGCAGCGGTGTGCGCTGGTTCTCAGGTTTCGTCGTTTCTCGGTAGCTGATTGAGATGGGGGTCTGGTCCTCTAATAGCTCAGTCACACAGTAACGATAGGGACATGGCCCGGACAGGTACACTCAGTCCCTGCTAAATGGGGCTTCTCGGTCCAGTGACGTACGTTCCGTGCCGCTTTTATGTCTGATGAGTGATGGATACTGATTTGGGAAAAGGTAGGAGACCATTAGCGTAATAACTCATCACAGTCTTCCATGAATGCTGCTTATCGCTGTTTATTTGCCGCTTATCCACGGTTACCAGCATCTGGGGTTGTTGGCTTTAACGATGGGCGATATCCTGTCATGTCAATTGTTAGTTTGCTTTTCATGTGGTATTCTCGCGTCGAATCTTTAGGTCGCGCTCTGTCTCCTAGTGGGCGGGAATTTTAGGCAGAGAGACAGGATGGACTTTTCCCTGTACCTTGACCCTGTACCAGCACCCACAGTTCCCTCTTGCCTCTCATTCCCCCACCTTTTCCTGTCAGTGTATTTCGTTACTACAGGTAATTGTCTCGCTCATGATTCTTCAGGGTGGCTTGCAGAAATCGGAGTCCATTTATGTGTCCTTACATATCATATGTCCTTAATTATCTTATGAGGAACCGTTCACATGTCAACCAAAGTCACTGACGAAATCGGTGTGCGCCGTGACTGTTTGCGCAAATGAGGACGTGAGTAGGCAGTTTCCGCGAGATGTCAAAAGAAACACTCAAGCTTCTAAGCACGATCCGAGGTCCTTAGTGGTCTCTTCAGCATGCGCTTCTGGTCTGGTCGGTAGACCGCTGCAGCCAGCATAACGGCCAATAAATACTGGAACAGATTGTATCTATGCGGAAGGACATCCAAAATGCTTGTCCATAAGATAGGTGACACGTGAGGCATGATGAAACATACCTACCAGCTAAGACTGGCTCGCGACATCATGGAGAGAATAGGAAGTGGCGCAACTCGCATTATATGTCTGCCTTTATCTCTTAGCATGAACAGTCGTTCATCCGACGTCTAACACTTTCCAATTTCGGTATTTTGTTACCGAAGTATAACACATTCCAGGGCTCTCAAATGACCACGTCAAAAATAACCTGATTGCGAATGCGTTGGTGGAAGAGATGCTTTATTCACCTGTTCTTTACGTTTTACGTTAACATTTTATTTACCTATTCATAGGGTTTTGTCATGATCTTGAGTCCTTTGGAGTTTTTTTTCTCAATAGGTAATGCTGTCAGCCATTTCCATTTTCCAGTGCGTCACGCCGTCCATCCACTAGTCGATAAGTGTACAGTGAAACAGACGGGCGTTACATAAGATCATGTGAGACCGAAGTTTAGCCTTCGCCGGACCGATTGGTTGGGGATTGGTTTTGTATATAGAGGGGGGGGGGTACGACCCCCTCGCCGCTTCGTCCCTGATGGAGCTAGCGCATCGTGGAAAAAACGTGCGTGTGCGCCGTTACGAGACGCGGCGAATGATTTCCGGCTTTAAGGTTTCAGGTCAACTGGTGACCTCTGACTAGGTCAGGTCAAGTGAACCAAGGCGCGGGTTTGGTTTTGGTAAATAACTTCGCAAAAATGGCCACAGAACCGCGATTTTGGCACCATCGTGTTCGCCTTGCTCAGGCGCGTCGATTGGTATACTTTTTGTTTTGGGTGAGGTAAGTTCAGATGTTGACCTCGGGTCAAGGTCAGGCCAGGATCCCCCAGGTCACGAAGCTGGTCGAATGGGCCGGGGTCATATCGCATATCATTCGATTCTGCAGGTCTTCCCGAGTCCATTGGCGGTTTTTCCGACTCGCTAGCTCAATTTGATTGGGAGTTATTGACGAAAAACTTATGACCCTAGTGACGTCATAACTGACGTTACGCAAGGTCAACAATGCAAAAATGAAGCGTCGGACCTTGCCAGAAGCGAATGAAAATACGATTCCGTGTGCTCGTGATAGTCTGAGATCGTTCCCGGCGCCAAAATAGCCGTTCTGATTTTCCCCCTTTGACTTAAAATGGTGAGGTCACATGACTGAGCTGACCTCATGTGACCTAAAGGAAAAATCCGAGATATACAATTTGTGAGACCTCTGGGGGATACTAGATCCTGTAAGTTTCATCTCCCTGTGAAAGCTGCTCTCAACTCTGGCACTAAGGGCGTTGCGAAGTTGCGGTATCTGAGGACCGTGCAGAGGTTCATTATGACGTCGTAGGTGAGTGAGATGACCTGACCTGAAAATGCAGTTGGTGTCACTAGATCCGGCTTGAAGCGAAGGTCAGGTATGCCAAGTTTCAGCTCTCTATCGCAGGCGTGTTCCGAGCTATCGCGAAAAACCGCATGGGGCGGGACCCGCTCCCCTCCCCCGGCGAGGGTTAACGCCTATTTGTTTTTGTTTTCTTGGTCATGTGCCGGTGGAGCTTGGTATTTTCCTGGCTCATGTGGATAAAGGCACTACTCAGCTGACGAGTGGTCTATGAAGAGTTTTTTTTTTCGGCTTGCTCGCGGCGAAGGATCAGCAGACAGACAGCTCATGCGCTGCTAACTTTGCAATGGCCATGATACATGTCTCCAGCGCATCTACTCTGATGCTCTTTGGCAAAGAGTGTGGCCGCGCGAAAATGGAATGAGCTGGAATCCGAAGTGGATACCTAAAAATATGTTCTAGATTGATGGACAAGGTTCAAAGAGAACAGCTTATGTACATGCATTGGGTATCGCATCGGTTTTTCTGTGTAACTAGTATATTCAACTTCTCAGTGTATTCATACTTTTTGTTAGGTTTATTTTACTCGTCATTATAGGTGTATTCAGCGAAGTTTGTTCAACTTTTTGCTGGTAATAGGGGAAATGTGTCACGTAGAAGTTCAGTTCAGTTCAGTAAATTTTGGTAACAAAGTACAAGAAACATCGGAGAAAATAATCGCGGATCGGCGCAAAAGCAAAATGCTTAAACCAAAGCGCCTTTCCTACAAATCATAAACACAAATAAACTCACAAAAATGAAATATTAACGCGAAAGTTAAGTGCAAAATAAGACCACCTGGCAACAGGTCACGACGGCCCCGCCAGCAGCCCGCCGAGCAGCCCTCCAGAAGTGGCTGAATATACTGAATATAGTCGTTATGATATAAGACACATATGTTCCCTTAGCGACATGAAGCGTGCAGTATCATGTGCAGCTGTTAGGTGACGTCAAATTTCAGCTGATGCTCAGCACTCTGACTCTTAAATGTCTACAAACTCAACAAATAGGTGGCCTTAACGAGGCTGGGGAATGCTTCGATATGTAGGGGAGAGTGGTGCAGGAGGCCCCCCCTTAAGCTCAGTTGCTATTTTTAGACAACTGATAATATTTAAGAGCTAACGTGTGCATGCGCTGTGAGCATGCATCATTTTCCCATACATATTTGCATTCAAAATGAATCTAGGGGGTACACAAACCGTAAACTTTAACATTTTGGAAAAAGTTGCAAAAGGGCCTCTTACACTATGGGTATGGTAAGACGCCCCCCCCCCCCTCAGGCGTTTAACAAGGCAAGTCGACTTGTAAAAGACGTTTTGCGAACACAGCTGCAAGGCCTTTTATTTCGAAAAGCTAAGCAAATACGGTGTTATCGAAACCAATAACACTTCCAAAGCGCTCGAACAATGCGAAAACTAGCACAACCAAACGCTGATGACCAACGAAAATTGTACCTATTACCTCTAGAAAAAGAAACAGAAAAAAAGAAACAAAAACAAACTCCTTGAAAAAAGAATGCCACGCCTGCCGCAGGTGCAGGCGTTTTAGCATCGGGGGCGTTTTTTATCGGGGGGGCGTTTTATAATCCTCGAAGGGAGGGCCTCTAAAAAAAATGCAGTGTTTTAACGTCACAATATTTATGGTTTATGAGACATTTGCAGCGCACCAGAACATGGTCTATTCTGAAGCTAACATGTGACAATTTCGATGAGATAAGATTGCATTTGATAGTCATTGTTTTTTCAGATATATAAGGGTGATAAAGATGCATATATCTAGCAAGTAAAGGGGCAAAAACAGAAACAGGCTTACCAAAAGTCGCTGCGACGCACCTGATACCTCAGGTTTCGTGAGTTGTTGTTTCAAGAGGGCTTCTGCTTTACAAGAACATTAAAAAATAAATAACATTATTGGTTTGGTAAAAAAAGCGATGGGGCCTCTTACCGACCCTGGGCGTCTTACACGGATCTCCCCTATGCTCATTCGACTAAATCTCACTTCTCACTTGTTGCGAGTTTTATGCAAGTGTCGCTGAACTTCTGCTATCCAACGCCAGGCGATGTTAAGCGAAGTCTCTTGATCATCAACAATGTACTTTTTTATATTGATAGGTCACTGATAGATTGATAGGTCACCATGGACATAACAAACAACATGGTGAGGAAGTAATGTTCGTGACTGAATATCTCTTCATCATAAATTTACAGCAATCTATGTGCTTTACGTCCAGACAAGTCGATCTCTCTCATTCGGCAGTCCGTCCTGCACGGCAAACCTCACCTTAGTTCCCTCAGTGAGGTCCACTGTTCTAACCGTCCGCCGCGGGTCCGTGCCCTTCTCCGCCCTGACCTCGCGCCGGACCCCTCTCACAGAGCCGGGCTTCAGTGAGGTGCAGTGGGAGGTGGCCACTGTTCGCGACTCGTCCGACCCAGACAGCTGGGCTGCCCAGCTCAGCCTGACGGTGCAGCTGAGCAGCTGCCAGCAGCAGCAGCAGCAGCGGCAGCGGCTGCAGCTGCTGTTCAGCCCGGAGACGGCCGCCGTCTGCCACAGAGGTCAGTATTTGTCTGTCACGAAAGTCAGTATGTGTCTGTCAGAGGTTAGTGTAGCCCGTCGATAGCTGATTCAGTATGTATCTGTCGCAGGGGTCAGTATTAATTGTGTAATGACTCACTTTTGGCGAAATATGTAATATGTAAATAATGTGTGATGACTCACTCATTTGGCAAAATATAACAAGCTTAAATCATGATTATTGGGTCTATTTTTTTAGTTTTCATATTCGAAGAACAAACCAGTATCCAGTCGATCATCCAACATTAATGTGCATAATTTATGCGTTACAGAGCTCCTGCTGGCCCGGCGCCGAATGGAGGACGTTTCATGAGGTGATCTAGTTATAACCGCTGCCGCTGCGGTCGCCGATCGTAGTGGGTCCCGCGAAGGCTCCGGTGGCATGGCAACTACTTTTTCAAAGCTGACGTGCATCCCGGACTGAGACCCGTGGCTGGCTACGGCAATGGCAGCGAACATTGGCCCGTCGCTCTATTATCCTAATGCTGTAGTGAAAGATCGTTGGTAGCACGACCCTCAAAAATAGCATCGTGGCTGGCGTGCATTTCTGTGATACAAGTCGCACTGGAGAGGCAGGGGAAATGTTCTAGTGTACTCGGTTCTCTGTTTTTTTTTTCTTTTGTAAGAGAACCTAAGGTCCTTGTTACTGTGGGCGCCACTTAGTGCATACCTGGAACACCTGGCTTAGAAATATCTTCGGGACCAATAGTCGTTTATCGTTGGCAATCAAAAGTCCCATGTGCGCTTGGTCGAAAGTTACTCCTTTCATCATGTGATAAGTGACGTTATTTTGTTATCCGTGGTTGGACGTGGTTTTGATACGTGCTTTGGTGTATGTGTAGTGGGCTTAGCATCCTCTCGAGACCGTACGAAGTAAATTTAGACCAGTTGGTGACGTCATGCTACTTGTATGCGCGTGTGTGTGCACTGGTTGCCAACGTAGGCAGTAGGCTTTTTAGGTTCGGGATGGGTCCCAATGTTCTCTATACGTATTGTTCACGAGTTAATCATCTTTAAACTGTAGGCTGTCCCAATGCGATGCATCCTTAGTTACGCACTAGAGAACGACGGCTGGTGCTGTTACAATCAGAAACTCTCGAATTGTTTTTGATTATCAGTCTTATTGAATCCCATATATCGCCTATAATATATGAATCGCTTATAGTTGCCTTTTTCTGTGGCATTGTGCTGTATGTCCGGTTGGATTTCAATTATATGTGCTGGTTGGCCTCAGCGCCTCTGGCGGGCGTTGCCATAAGCAGTAGTTCGATGAAGTGGCATCCATTCCGTCTCCCACGCCAGTGTGGTGTCAGAGACGGGGCTGCGGAATCAGAGTCGGCTGGAGTCAGCAGTTCTACTCGGAGTCATAGTTACCATAATCTCAAACCCTGACTTTGTAATCGAAGCTGACATTGCATAGGATGACTCAAAGTCATGCACGATGTCTGTTGGTTGAAAAAAAATATTACGTTTGTTGACCTTATCAATATAGGGTTTATCGTAGCTAAAGACATGCTCCTGTCTCTAACGAGCTTTTTAAGCGCGAAAAGCATAAGTCTAAAGACGGCCAAGGCCCAATACCCATGAAGCTATTAGTGAGTTGGAGTGGAATGATTCGGCGAAACAGTATTAAACTTGTTGCGTGACAGGAGAATAGACATCAGAATCGCCTTCATCCACCGGTCGTGTTTTCGTCGCTCGTAAGCCATGCGTGATGCGTCCCCCATGGGTGACAAATGTGGTATTGGAATAACAACAGAAAGCGCCCACACCGTATCGCAACTGCCACACGGCGAGGGCTGGTCCGACCAAAGCGAAATTATGTTTTCACGTTTCAAAGCGGAGCTAGTGTTATTTGCTGAGGGCCATGTTTCAGTAACTCGCTATTCGATGAGTGCGTTGGACTACTTGAGCGGTTGTCTTGCCTAAGCTAGAGAACCGTTAATTGATCATCCACAATTCGCCTGTCGTCCTAAGTCTAAATATGTACCTTAATTATCTGCTAGGTCAGAAGTCAAGTCAATCTTCAGATCACTGATGTGATGGGCATACAATACATACATGCAGGGGCGAAACGTTTGCGCTATACAACAGAAACAATATCGCATCGCGGCACCGTTGTAACCAAGGCCGTATTTAGGGTTGTAACTGTAACCGCTTTGCAGTATTGTCACGGGCTGGCACCTCTGCTGTACGGAGCACATGGCGGCGTTCACCCCAACCTCCCACAGGTAGCTGGTAAGAGGTTATTTTGCCCGAGTTTTTACCACGTCTGCGGGACCACCGGTCGTGCGGTAGTTCGTGATCCGTGATTTTTGCCCGACCTCGTCTGGCTCTTGAGCGTGGTGTTTGTCCGTTTTTACAAGGAGAATAATGTCATGTTATTAGGGCTGTACCGTAATGGAATATCCAACGTGGAATCATATAACTGTTTTCTCATCTAGTTGCTTGCAGGTTTCACTTTCACATTTCTTGCTGTGCACCTGATGAAGTACCCAATTGCATCGTTTGGTTGCTGATAATTGCTTATCGAGAGCGGGAGCGGTCAGGCGATGCGCCGCCTGCGTTTAGTTACGCCTCTGGACGGTCAGGTCGACGTAATACAACAGTACATTATTCCGTGCCCGAAACGTAACGAACCAATAATACCATCAATATCAATCGCCGACGGCAATGCAATCATCGGGCAGCGACACAGGTAGTTCTTGCCGTTAGACATGCACGCGATAAGTTTCGGCCCGACTTTCGGAGTTTCGGTCATGATCGCAGCTTTATTGTTTTACTGTGCTCGCAAAGTCAATCCCTTAGAAAGATAGCTCAACCCATTGCCTACATTACTCCGGGATCTAACCTATCTCCCACCAGTAAGTTGGTTTTATCTTCCACATCCCGCTCGGGCCGCGAGCAGGGTGACGCACCACCCGAGTACCGGCGCGGTGGCCCGTCGACCGCTACGGCCTGTCCGCTCAGCCGGTTTTTGTTCCGGCTGAGGTTCAACGGCGTGCACCGCCGGGCCGGAACAGTGGGGTGCCTGGCGGTGGACCGGCCGCTCGCGGGTCGCGCTGCAGCCGTCAGTACGGTGACGTCACGGCCGCCTTGCCGGGAGAGCGGGGAGGATCGTCTGTGTTATTTGCGTATCTACGTGTATCGATGCGGAAAATTCGCGGTGGAAAGTGAGGACAGAAGTGTGAGAGCAGCGCCTGTGCGTCCATGTGATGGGAGCGCCGCGGCTGTCGGCGCTGACTGGAAGGAAACGACCCATGCGAAGGTCGTATGAGGACGTTGACATCAAGGATGGTAGGTGACCACAGCGCAATGCATTATGAAATAAAAATCGCATGTTCAGTCACGCCTTCGAATTGTCATTGTGTGTTTCAGATTTATCATAGTCCCATAGGCTGATTTCGGTTATGAAATTACTCCATTGAAGATGATTGTGCTCGGATATTGACTCATTGACACAAGTGAATGGATGGCAAATTTATACAGTATGACAAAAAATATTTTTCATTTAGTGGTCTGTTTTTCTTTGTTTGATGCCTATATCTGCGCATGTGTGACAAATACTGCTGTGTTCTTCTCTAGGTACAATTGTTAGCAGTGGCGTTCCGATGAATGTGATTTTCATATACAGATGTTTTTCTTTACAGTCATGATATTTTTGTCATTAAAAGGAACCTGAGCTATCGAAATAGCTGCCCACTTCTATCAAAATAGGTCTAATTATCTGAAAGAATCCGAGTAAAAAAGACACTCTTGTGAAGCCCAGTGTTCATTGGTCAGGATTCATTGCAAAAGCAGAAACTTTAAATTGTAATGAACACTTCTTCAGCATAAGCGGGCAGATTGACTCTGGCCTCGCGGGCGACTATACGGCCTTGGCGGGCGACGACGACGAGGATATAGCCAAGGCGGCAGTATAGGTATATATTATATGGATAATGTTGCTTTGGGCGAGCGAAGGAAAGGATCAAAGCCCTGTTATCAAATCATAAACACTGCAGAACAATATCTTAGGTGAGTGTTGACTTTCTGATGCCAACCTATCTACCGACGCATGTATGGCCTAAACTTTTGAATTCATTTTAAAAAGGGGAAAAACGCAAGAAATTACCCAATTTTCAATGCAAGTTTCACATGATGTATTCAAAGGTGTCACAATCGCACTCTAAGACCCATGACTAAGCAATAAATGCGAAACGTTGGGTAATTTATTGTATTTTCCCCTTTTTAAAATGAATTCAAAAGTTTAGGCCATACATGCACTATAATATGTCACATCTGTCTATTGATAATCCTCTATCTACCTACGTTATGTTTAACGCTGTGGTGGCAAAATAGGATCAATATTTAGCTTATGTATAAGACTGATTTCTTTGATTGGGAAACATTTTGATTTTGTTTTTTCTGGTGTATGATGATGTTTAACGAATTCTCTTTCTGTTGATACCATTCACTGGTCAGAGAAGTGTCACCTTGCTGCGTGAGGGCCAAAAAAAAAAAGATCACACTTTGAGGGGTACCTATGTCTTCAACATGGAGCTCAAGCAGGATCATTAAATAGAGTGCTCTAATTTTAGCTTATTTCCCAGGTAAGTTACCAACTGGTGTGCCAATTCACAGTGAATCAAATTCTTGATTGCTTCAACTTGATATTTTTATCTAGCCTAGCCAGATTGGAAAATAACAGCGGCGTCACCACGGTTTAAGAACTTCTAGGGACACTTTTCCAGGGCATCGCCACAAACCTTTGCTTGAGTCTGGTCGCCAATACCCACCTACCCCCAAATGTTTGTTCCTTGTTGGATTTCGGCCACTGTAATTTGAAAACAAGGGAGAATAATTAATGTTTAGTTTGGAAAACGAAGAAGTTACCTACACGGTAGTACGCATATTCTTTGATCATGAAACGCGTGCCCACATCCTTCTGCCTATGCATGTGACACATAAGTATGCATTAAATCGTATAATCGGCTCCAACTGTTCATCCTTGAGCTGCTCTGCTCGCAGCTCCTCGGCACTCAGCGGTTTGATTCCCATCTCAATGACCGTACAAACCGACCGAGTGCACGAGTCGAGGTCGATGGCCACGGTCACTTTTTGGCTTTGCCCTTCATTCATTGCCCTCCAAGACAAACGGCTCAGTCCATCCACGTGCAGTATTTCGGGCCCCGGGCGATGCCGCACCTCGAACTCGGAATCGAGCACGAGCAGCCTCAAGGCATCCCTCACACGTCGTGAGAAGCATTTGGGTTCCGTTGTGGCCTGGAGCAGGTATCCGAGAGCGCTGTTGCCTGTGGTCAGTATGAAATGCCGAAGTAGTAAAAGAACTTCTCAAAGAGCAAAGACGACAACCAGGCTCTCTTTTACCAGTATAGGTTGTGACAGCTCGGACGGCGTCAACACCGGGCTAGCGTAACCTATATGGTGAGAGCCATCCTCAAACTCTTGATGCAGCGCCGCTCACAGTGCTCGTCAGCTCGCGTCGGTGTAGACGTGAAATGGGTTTGTTTGTAAACCCGATAAGTCGGGGTACCGGAGCACCGGACTCTCGCATAAATACCGTTTCAGCGCCTCAAAAAACTCCCTACACTCCTCGGTGAACACATAGGGCACGTTCTTCTTCAGTAAGTTCAGTAAGGGTCGTGAGAGGGCCGCCAAACCCGGTACGAAACGCTTGTAGAGGCTGGCCAAGCCTACGAAAGCTCTTAGCTCTCTCTTTGGCCGGTTCGGCTATTTGGGCGATTGCCTGTGTTTTGCTGTCATCGACACTAATGCCCTCGTGAGAAATGACATGACCCAGCAATTTCACTGACCGACAGAGAAGCCTGGTCTTACTCGGTTTCATTGTATACTTCACCCCGTGCTTCTGAGCCAGCTGGAACCTCTCCTCCAGCGTCTCTATAGGTGCTCAGTTTCGGTCGTGGTGGAGCAGATCAGAATTCAGATCATCAAGATGGCAGGCCACCTTTCCCGTGACCAGTACTGGAGCGTACACGGCGTCCACTACCCGCTGGAGACTAGCACTGTTATTCTTTAGACCCATGAGCAGCACCTTGGGCTTGTAGCCCCCGAAGGGTGTTATGAAACCAGCGTGCTTGGCGCCCTCGGGCAGCACCCGCATCTGGTAAAGGCAGGAGCTCTTAGTCATGTCCATGTAGCTCA